TTGTTTCTCCAGAGAATGCAGCCCAAAGACAGTCTGGAAGCTACACTGAAACCTGCTCAGCATCACTGCAAAAAGGACATGGGGTGGCATTCTCTAACTTTACAAAGGGAACAGAGAAAGATCAACAGCAACAATCCATAGCTGATTCCTATGAGGTGAAAGTCAGACGTGCCACCAACATCCAACCTGTTTGCCAATTCTGACACCAGCTATCTCTCCCACAGCACTTACCACTTCTCTGCTGGGTTTGATAATTCATCATAATGGCCACACAGAACTCACAGATTATATGATTATGTGGTTTATTAGGGAAGCAATACGTTACAATTCAGGTTCAGGAACATTCAGGATATAATTCTTCAATCAGGGCAGACTCCCCTCGACCTGACCTTCAGGCACGCCTCTCTTTGGCCTGGGGCCTCTTGGCCTGGCCTCTGCCCTGCTCAAGCATTACAAAGCTCTTTAAGCTCTGCTGATAGATGCACCTAGGTGCACCTGACTCTGCCAGCAAGGCTTCTGCCCAAAGGGACTCAGCTTTCTCGCTCCATGGACCAGCAAGTCTGCAGCTCCGCCTCATGCTAATCTCTTGGTTCTGCTGCCATTCTTTCTGCTGTCATCTTAGCCCAGGAATCTTGGGTCCAAGGATGTGTCATACTCCTGGCTTTTCCTTCTTGATAGTAGTGAGATTCCGCGCCCCCCCCCACCTTCTGTCTCTAGGAGGGCTCATTTTGATATCTAGATTAAGCCTAGTGGAATGACAAAACTAACCAATCACCACCTTATTTCTACAGTCCCACTCCAACAAGGGTGCCATGCACCTTATTTACATTACTAACAAGCTATCTGATCCCCTTGGTAGGCCACAAGCACTCACATTCGCACAGTTCCACCCAGTCATCTGGTGGGAGTCACAAAGACCATAGCTAAAAGAGCCATACCAAATAATTCAGTGTGCCATAATCACAGCAACACAGAAGCCTCCACTGAGACAGGGGAGGCTGCACAGGAGGTGCACTGGCCAGGAATCAAACCTGGGTCTCCTGCATGGAGGGCAAGGATTCTACCACTGAACCACCAACGCCTAGTATTATAGTCTCTCAATAAATGCTGCTGGTATTTGGGAAAGAAGGTATTTGCCTGGGTGGTGCAAGTGGGTTACTCTTGACTAACTGAAAGTTTGATAGTGATCTGCTAGTGATCTGTTTCTATAAAGATTATAACCAAGAAAATTCTATGGAACAGTTCTACTCTGTAACAGGTGGGGTTGCCATGAGTCACAATGATGGGCTTGGTTTGAGTTTTTTATTTATGTAGTGGGGGATTGTTGGTAGATGAACATTGGAAGGAGATGGGACCTGGAGCTGAATTGAGGTCTAGATTAAGACTAGACTGTTTTCAGTCCATATGACTAATTAAATGCTTCCAAGACTCTGATTAAATGATCTTTATTTGATGTTTTGATGTGCACAGCAGTACAAGTAGGTGCCCAACCCAGCAAGTCAGCCCTTTCATCACCTTTAGTTAAGGTTGCCAGGGAATGTCATGGGGGGTGGGGTGGGGCGATCAGTAAACCACTGTCTAGCTAACCCTCTTTCTCCAACCATTCTCTATAGGCTCCAGTGTAGTTGCGAGCCCTGTGGAGACAAAGAGGGGTGAGGGAAGGACAGGCCCTAGAGGGAGGCCCCAGTCACTCCCCAGCTAGCCAACTACACCTTCTCCGTACCCTATGTATCCAAGGCCGCGGGCCAACTGCATAGCCTGGAAGCCCCGCTTGCCCATCTGACAGAAGAAAACAAGGTTCTCATCTTCCAGCTTTGGCTTCTGAGCGGAGTACAAAGCCTGGAAAGCAGCTGGCTCCATCTGCAGGGCACTTTCCAACTCTGACACTGGGAGGAGGAGTCAAGAAGAGAATGGACAGCAGGCAGGAAGGGCTGGGCCCTGGGGTCACACACAAAAACCGGCCAACACAAAGCAGTCACCCAATTTAAAGGAAAAGATAACAGGTACCAGGCGTGCAGGCACTACTCAGCCAAACGACCTTTGAAAATGAGCCACTTCCTGATTCGGGAGGAGGAGCAGGTTCAGGCACACAGCCTGATCAGTAAGTAAGTCAACTGATCTGTCTCTCTCCTCAAGGACTGTGATCCCCTCAAACTGGATGGGTCAGTTTCGCTGCCAAGATTTGCCTCCAATCAGCCCTTCTGTGGGAAGCTTAGGAGTGGCTTAAGGGAACTCAGGACCCCTGTAACCAGTGCCTTCCCCACGGCACTGTACGTGAGGTCCCATTAGCTAAGACCTTCCTTGACTCTTTCTATTCCACTACAAGGGCGTCCCCTCTCAAGCCCATACCCGGGATGTTAAGCGCCCCTGGGATGGTCCCAGCTGCAGCCTCCTCCCGCGATCGCACGTCGATGAGGCGGGCCCGGCCAGAGGATAGGAGCGAACGAAGTTCAGGGAGCAAGACCGTGGGCGCTGAGGAGGGGAGCACGAGAACCTTGAGGGGAGTGGGTCAAGGCACAGTACTGTGAAGCCCCTCCACCGGTAGCGCCTCGTCCCGATGGGAAAGGGGCGCGTGCGGACCTCTCAGCAACACCCCTGCATATACACCTCCACCCAGGGGGCTCCATGCGCTCCCCAAGCTACCAGTAGGACTTCCCCGCAGATACCTGCAGCCATGGCACAGTAATTGCGAAATCCCAGGAATGCGGCACCAACCCGCCCCGTCGGCTCCCGCAGCATCTCCCCGCCCCTCCCGGCATGAAGACCGGAACCGGAAGCGAAAGCACCGCCTCCCGCACCGCCCCTGCAGCACCTGTTCGTGGTACTGCTCACTTAGCTCGTCAGAGAAATCCTTGCGATGGCCCAGCATGGGCTGGAAACACCACATTGGTCCGGGGCAGGTACCAGGGCTAAAGGTAGAGTATAGAAAAACACACTCCACCCTAAACTTGGCCCAGCCCTTGTTGTCTAAAGGACACCGTGCCCCTTCCGCAGCCTTTGGGCCCACAGAAGCAGTGAAAACAGAGACAACTGTGGCGCTGATCAACTTTATGTTTAAAAAAAAAGAAAGGAAGGAAAAAAAAAAAAGAAAATGCCCCCACAAGGGGGAAGGCCCCAAGTGGACCCCTGACTGTTGTTCTCCCTGGCTGCAGAGACTTCTGCATAGGCCTTTGCTTGCTGGCCAGGCTCCTCTTCCCCAGGCAGCAGCCACTGCTAGGCATCCCTTCTCCCACTTCTTGCTACAGCCTGCTCCCCAGAGATGCCAGGTCCACATCTGAACCTCAGCTCCAAGGAAAGGAAGAACCAGTGGCAGTGCTGGAGTCCTGGAGCAGGCCAGACCATCACCTGTCAGCAGACTCTCTGCTGGGCACTCTAAGCAAGCACAGGACAAGCCCTCCAGTTTAGTGTGTCCACCATCCAGCATCGAGACAGCACATGCATTGTGCAGGAAGAGCACGTGGGCCCAGGGACTGCTTGATGGGGGTGGGCAAGGCTGTCAGTGCACATCCTCATGGGTGTTTCACACCACTGCAGGCGGCTATATCACAGGGCCTCAGTTCAAAGACACGCTGCCTGAACTCCCCCGAGTCCCATGCCAAAAGTGGGCAGTGAAGGAAAGGGGCATGGGGTTAGCCTGGTGCTCCTGGGCTATCTGCAGTTCTCAGAAAAGGGCTCTAGGGCCCAAAGCCCCTGAATCCCCAAGGTTAGTTGCTGTCATTCTTGATGACGACCTCTACTCCATGGTGCCGCAACTGAGCTCGTAGCAGGAGATTCTTGTTTTTAAGATCTTCCACCTGCCATGGGAAGAAGGCAGTAAGAGGAATGGGTAGAAAAGTTGGCACAACCAAGCCTCTAACTTTATTTAGACATCCACTGGTGAAGGGAAAGAGGTGAAGTCCTCTCTGTGGAGAATCAAGTAGGGAGCCCTACACTGGGTCAATGGCTATGGAGGACAGGAAGGGCTATTAAGGGTAGGGATCTGACCTGCTGTCGAAGCACATCATTGTCCAGCTGCAGCTGGTCAAGCCCCTGCAGTTCCTCAGACAACCGGTGGTTACTTTGCCGAAGCTCCTGGATATAATCACAGGCTTTGGATAGAATTCCACCTTTACTCTGTGAGAAAAAGAGAACAAAATGAGGACCAGGATTTAAGATACTTGGATTGCTTCCCAAAAGCACTTTCACACTTTAGACCTCATTTCCCCCTAAGGATTGTGGTGTAACATCTCCCAGGGATACAGGAACCTCCAAATAAGAAAGACCACTGACATCTGTGCCCTACTCTCTACCACTCCTGGAAGCAATACCAACAGACAAAATTCAGGCAACCCGTCCACTACCAGGGTCTTTCCATGACCTGGCCAGACTTGGTACTCTCCATGGAGCAATCTGGGATGATCTTGGACAGCTGCACAATCCAGTTGTTGATCTTGTCTCGACGACGGCGCTCCACTGTAGGGCAAAGGGAAAGATAAAGTGACTCAGTGAGAACTTGCCACAGGCCCCAGGATAAAATTACCCAACTACCTCCCCACCCTTAGAGATCACTGCCATCCCCAATCCCATCAGTCAGCTCCTAGCTTCACACCCTCATCATACCTACCTTCATTATGCTGAGCCCTGCGTTTCTCATCTCGAGTCGTCCGGGGAGCTTCCGATTTGCTGACAACAGAGCCCAGGGTTGTCAGAGTGAGGGGAGGATAAAAAATAAGATGGAAGTTTGGGGTAAGGGATTTGGCAGGGATCAAACCCCTCATTGTAACTGAGAGGAAACAGGGTCACTCACGGGGAATAAGGGTGGGTCCTGGGGGCAATGGAACGCTGGCTTCCTCCCTGCAACACTTCTTGTGGTGACATCATCACAAAGAACTGACCTGTGAAGATGCCGGGTATGTTCTGTCAGGACATGGGAGCAGGAACCTCACCAAGCTCTTAGACCCATGCCTTGGGACCCTCCTCTAAAAAGAACATGTTTCTTCCTGCTAGAAGGGCAGCCCCAGACTCATTGCCTGCCCAGGCCTTACTGACCACCAGAAGGGTCATGGGTGATAACCACTGCCCATTAATCATGTCCCACAACCTATCCTAGCCCCTGCAGCCCACATCCTCACATGATATCTCACCAGTGCCAGGAGGGGTTGCCTGCCCCAGTAGTGCCTCTGAACCCTGGGTAGTAACAACAGCAGCTGTACTTCCTGATGTGGTGCCCCCTGCCCCATCTCCTACTGCAGTGCTGGGGAAATAAGTATAGTGTGTCTCGGCAGCTGTCCCCTCTGTGTCAACTGCATCATCGCTGGTGAATGCACCCTGGATCACCGCCTGGGAAGAGGAGTGGGAACAGAGTTCAGTGAGTGAGACATTTCTTCCCACTGTACCACTCTGCAGCTTCTTCTGCTTGGAAGAAGAGGGGGGACGATCCAGAAAGGGAGAGCCTAGTGAAGCTCTGGACACAAGGGATAAGGCAGCTCTAGGTGCCTCACCATCCTTAGCTTCATCCCTATCCCACTGGTTCCAGTCATCTTACTGCTTAGAGCTCTAGCCCCCGCCCCGGCCCAAACCCCTATACCTGGGTCATGGACTGGGTGGCAGGGTAACCACTGATGGCTCCAGTGCCTTCAGTCTGGCCATCCAGCTGCCCCTCAGACACCTGGATCACCCTGTACATTACCTAGAAGTGGGGAGGGAAGGGGGAGGAGAGGAAGAAAGAAGAGTAAGTACTGGGGATCCCAGGGTCCCTCATAAAGCTTCCCTTAGATAGGACCCTAAAACAAGAGTTCTTCAAAGACATAGATTCAGACATTCCCATCCCTTATCCCTACAGAAGCTTTAGCATAGACCCTAGCCCACACCAATCTCTACTCCAAACTTCTCCATACCCCAAACAGTCCACACCTCACCTCATCCTCCAAGCCAAGTCTCCCAAAACATGTTCAATTACCTCCCCCAATCCCAACCCCAGGTCACACCTGCAGCCACCTGGCCCCCTCCCTTACCTGGCCCCCATTCTCAGTTCGGAAGACGTACTTGACGTTGGGGTCAGGGAAAGTGGCAGCCGACTGGATGCTGGCGATAGCCACACTGGTGGGGTCCTCCCCAGTTGCCACTGCACCTGAATTTAAACAGCAAAAGAAAGGTCTGTGAACTACTGTCTTTCTCTCTCTGTTCTACTTGCATGTCATTAATAAGAGGAGTGTGCACAGAGGATAGGCTGTGGGGGAGACCAGGAAGGGATCCTGGTTCTATTTCTATCACTCACCTTCCTGAATCTGCACTGTTCCTTCTTCCGTTTCAGCTGTTTTCTGCTGCCTATTTGTGGGGAAGGGATAGAAGAAAGAATAATGAGAGAAATTAATGGGAGGCTCACTGACCCAGTAATGTATGGCTCCCAAACTTAGTGGCATTCCCAAGAGATGCTAAATTACATGAGGCTAACAGCAGTTAATATTTACTGAGTGCTTACTATGTGCACAGGCACTGAGCTAAGCACTTACCATGTACTATCTTATTTAATACTAAGAACAGCTCTTGGAAATGAGTAGCATTACTTCCATTTTATAGATGGGGAAACCAAGTCAATAGCTAATAAGTGATGGTGCTGGGACCTGAATCCACATCTTCCTGACTCTAAAGCTAGTGCACCTAGACATTTTACCATTTTCCCAGGTCACCCATCTCTTATTCCAGACCCTACCTCCTCTTCACTCACCCCTTCATCTCTTTGTGAGGGGGCACATCCGAGGAACTGGTCCTTCTCTGGAGGTCTTCGTATCTCTTGCCTCACAGCTGTGTGCTAAATTCTGGTAGAAATCAGGGAGTTTGTGGTGAGTCTAGGAAAGTGACCAGCCCCCTGCTTCTAGAACTAAGCTCCATAAAGATATAGCCAGGATCATAACTCAGGCATCTGCAGAGAACAATCAAGTCTCCCCCATTCTGATGCTGAGAACTGGGCTACAATGGTTGAAAAAGCCACCCTATAAATAGTGTTCCTCACCCCTCCATGATCACTCCAACTCCTAGTGGAGAGGGGATTACTGGACTGGAAGACTGCAAAACAACCTATATCTGGATGGATTATTATTAAAGCTATTAATGACCTGCCATGACAGCAGCTTCATGGGGATTAGGAAGGGCCATGTTAGACCATCACTATCAAAAAACACCAGACCATGGACATTGATGCTTATTCCAGATTCTCAGGTGCATACTGTACACAAGAAATCTCTGTTTGTGACACTTTGGAGAGGAAACCTGAAGCCCAATGCCACTGGAAAACCATCCTTAACCCCAAAGATAGACCTGGCCCTTGAGGCCCATTCTACCACCATGGCTCTTGTTTTGGGGTACTTGGATTTATGTCATATGTTAGAGACCCTAAAGCCCAAATGCAGCATCCTGAAGACCTCTCTATTTTCTCCAAGCCTTCCTGGAAACAACACATTTGCTAACATGTTGCCATGACAACTCCAAATCAACTGAGGCTCAGCAAGAAGGGATAAAGCTGGAAGCTCAGGGTTCTGAAGAAGAGACAATGGAGAAAGAAATCCATCCATAAGGTGCCAGCTTTAGAACTCTAACATCCAGTCAGAGGCCAGGAAAAACAAAGGGCTGAGCAGACAAATGCCTCCAGAAAGAAACAGCTACACAAGGCGCAAAAAAAAAAAAAATCCCAACATGAAGCAGACAAGATTTTTGTAAACTCTCTCCTCATAAGGTTCCGCAAAACCTAATTCCCCTACCTAAGGAAAAGCTTCAGCAGGTGAAGCTTGGAAAGCCAGTGTCTAAGGAGTGTCAATAATTCTTTAGAAAAAAAAAAAGGAACTGAAAGTGAAACTACCCGAGGAAGTAAAGCTGCAAGGAGATCCCAGTCTGTAAGCAGAAGTAGAAATAGTATTTAGGGACCACCTACCTCTCAATCCTCAAACCTGAGGAAGAGATGCCCCTCCCGAGGATTGCTGCGCTAATTGCAGGAAGCGGCAATGAAAGAGAGGGCAGGGCACAAGGAAGCATCCCTATCATCCACAGCTGTCAGCCAGGCGCAGCCTCTGAGGGCAACGAGGTCAGGCTGCTTATTCAAATCTCAGTTGGACATCAGGAAGCATTTCCTGAGCATTAGGGCTATACGACACGGAAAAGGGAAAGGATGCTATGGCGTGCACGCTCAGGCAAGGAGGGACCAGCAAGATCCCTTGCTAAGTCTGGACACAAAGGGAAAAATATCAAGTCCTGAAAGAAGTCAAGCGCAGAAACCTTGCCTGGGAATGCGCCGTCTTCCTGAAGGCCCACCAATCAGTAGGCGCTTATAGAACTGAGCACCCGACCAGCGCGAGCCCCAAAGCCGGAGCTGTGACCCTGCCAGCCTCCCCCGCCCCCCGCGCTAACCCCACGCCCCAGCTGCTCCGCAGAGAAGACTGGAAAGGGTGCCGGGGGGCTCGGCGGGCCCCGGCGTCCGGGCCCGCGCGACTCTGCGGCTCGCTGGCCCGCGGCAGTGCATCGCAGGAGGGCGGGAGTGTGTGTCGCCCGGGGGCGGAGAGTCTGCTCGGCCCACAAAGGGGGGTAGGTGATTAAGAAACAGGCGCGGCCCCCTCCCCCAAAACAAAGGCTTCCTACCCAGGAGTTCCCTAACCGAGAAAACTGAAACCAAATCAAAGCTGTCCTGCCTTGCCGGTCCACCCAGTCTCACGACTTCTGTCTGATCCTGCACTCACCCTGCAAGGCCGCCTCAGCTGCCGCTTTTCCCCGACCGTGGTCTCCCCCCTCCGGACTCGGGTATCTCCATGGGCAGCCGCTCATGCGCACTCCCAGTCTGCGGCCATGTTGGTGAGGGGCGGAAGTATCTCCCTCCACCCGCGCAACCTACGCACAGCCCCTGAGCCGCCCCACTTCCGTCCGCTCCTTTTTGGTGAGGGCTCATGGACACAGAGGTGTTTTGGAGTGTTGGTGCGTCGAAAGTATGCTACTTCCTGGAATCGTGCAAGAATGACACTGAAGTTGTGGCCGCTTTCAGCAAGAATAGAAGAAAGGCGATTAATTTGTACTACCATCTTTGTTCTGGGCAGGCCCTTCTTAGTCTCAGGGAAAGTGAGTGAGGAAGCCAACTAAGGGCAGGGAGGGACGTCCGACCGAGACGCCATCATTAACAAGGCTATTTGGGAGGCCATCTTGGATCAGGGCATTTATTTGAAGTGTATCTTACTGGAAAATTAGGATAGCTAACTAGGCATATTCCTTTGTATTACCGTCAGCCATCCCTTAAAAACCCCAAGGCTTCATTTTCTGTGAAAGGGGTTTTTATTCCTATTCTAACTAGTCAGAACCTTCATTTGATGGATTTGGAACAGTGTAATGTAATGCAAAGAGCTCAGGCTCTAAGACCAGAAAAACCCTGGTCTCACGCCCATCTTTGCTACATCTTTTCTCAGAGATCTTTGGCAAACCTTTTAACTTAATTGAGCCTTAGTTTCCTCATCTATAAAATGTAGATACCACTATCAACTTTACAGGCCTGTTATGTGAATTAAATAAAATCAAGGGCCTAGATTCTATGCTCATGGAATACCTAGCTCAATTACTGGCACAGAATAAACATTATGTAAATACAGGTTTCTCTTCCCCTTTTCCCAACGACTGTGAACTCAGCTCTAGTTTCTAGCCACCGGTCTCCATGACAACATTTGAGGAAGAACACCCTAACAGCAAAGGGGAAAAAAAAAAATAAGACATTTGCCCAAATACAGAGATGATGCTTACTACCCACGACTTTAATAAGAATAATGAGGCTCCACACTATTTACATGCAAAAATACTATTTTTATTCTGAGACATAGCCTCTTGCTGGAGTGGGACCCTGTCTGGAAATGCAGTTTCAGGGCCTGAGTGACCCCATTCCTTTGTTCTAAAGTAGGAGGAAGTTATTCCAAAAGGAAAAGGAGAGGCGAGAGAGACCTGTAAAGGACTCCCCTTATTTAAGGTGACTGGAGGCAGAAGATAAGGGAGCTGGAAAGGGGGTCAGTCCTTCCAGCAAACACTGAGGACTTCAAAGAGCTTCCTGGACAAGTTCCTCCCTAATCTGAAGCTCAGAAGGTCAGGAAGTATTCAAGGGTCCAGGGACAGAGCAGGAGTGGGCAACACAGCAGTATTTGTGTGCAGGCTCTGACCTGGCCCTGTCCACCTTCCTTCACCTTAGGCTTCCATGGAAGTTCACAGCCTCAGAGGAGAGCAGGAGCTTGCTGGAATTCCCCCTCCATTCTTCTCTTTGAAAAACTTCTTAAGTTTTCTGCCTGCCTATATTCCCCTTAATTAATAGCTCCACTCCCTGGGAACAGGATCTTGGCAACTTTCTTAGGAAATCTCCTAAGGGATAAGTGGTTTCTGTCTGAGGTAAACAAACTCAGGTAAACAAACCAACCTGTGGCCTCTCAGGGTCAAAAAAGAGAAGCAGGAGGTCAAAGCCTGTAGAGTTAGGCTCTACAGCTGGTCAAGGACCCTAGACATTCAAGACAACTGCTTGGTCCCCTTTCCCCAGTAGTCTGGTCCTAATCACAATTCCTCACTTTTCCCAGGGTTAGCCTGTGTTTCAAATGCATAAGATCGGCGCTGAGGAAGCATAAGGGGATCAGGGGGCTGGAGTTCTCTGGGGGGCAGACTAAGGCGACTCCGGGGTCCAGATCCTTCTGCACCTTCAGGTGGAAGCTCCAGGCAGCTAAGGGGCCGATGAGAATAGGCAGGGCTCATGCTACAGGGTGTGGTTCTGGGGATGAGACTATAGTCCCCACCTCCAGTACAGGTCTGGGTCCGCCGAACTCCCTGAGCCTCAGTCCTCTGGCGGTCCCGTGCCAGGGCCACAGCAGCGTCAAAAGAAAGACTGCCCCCATTCCTCCAGGAGGAGCGGGAGGCTCGGGACCCCCATGCCCTTTCCCCAGGAGTCCCATCAAGCCGGCCAGGCCTAGGACATGGGTTTGCAGGTGCCACATGGATTTTGGTACACAGTGCACTGGGCATCTTGGCAAACTGTGGTTTGGGGGGCACCACAGGCACAGAGCGGACCTGTTGGACTTGAATCAGGGTGGAAGCCAGGCGCATACCCACACCACCAGCTAAGCCAGAGGGACAGGGGCACAGATCACAACCCTCTGGACTGAGCTGCCCCTCAGGCTCCATCTCCTCTGGCTGAGGTGGCTGTGGGGCTATCTCTTCCCCCTCAGAGGATGGGGCATTGCTCACTTTGGCGCAGTCAGTCTCTAGGGCTTCTTCATCTGACCCTTCATGGAAGGAGCCCTCTTCAAAATGGTCATCTCCAGACCTCAGGTGTCCCTCTGCCTCTCCATCTCCACTCTCCCGTTCCTTGCTGACCTCCCCTACTACTACTTCAGGGATTCTATTGTCTTCACCGTCTCCTTGGTCTTCTCTTGCTTCCTGGTCCCCACCTCCACTCTGTCCTTTGATATCATCTTCTCTGCCTCCCTCATCCTCTTGTTTATATACAATTTCCCAGCTTTCTTCAGCAACTTGGTGTTCCTGGGCCTCATGCTCTGAGACCTTTCCAGCTTCTACCTGGGCCTCCTCTCCTCTGTCAGCATCTTCTGCTCTCTCAATCTCTCTTTCCTTCTCCTCGTCTTTATCCTGCTCTCCTGGTTCCTCCATACCCTTAGCTGCCTCCATACTCTCAGTTTCATTCTGACTGGTGGACTGCTCTTCTATGATCTCTGTCTCTATACCACTCCCTTCTCTCAAACTGACCAGCATTTCTTGGCCTCCCTCAGCCTCCACTCCTTCCTCACCTGACTCTCCAGCCTCTACCTTGGTCTCTGGACTCCCCTCAGCCTCCTCCCTGATGTCCCATCTGTTTTCAGGCTCAGCCTCCTTGTTCTCTCCAACTTCCCAGCATGTCTCTTCTCCCTCAGCCTGCCCTGGAGCCTGTCTTTCACACCCTGCTGCCTTTTGCTTTGGACTCCCTAGAACTTCCCAGGTCGGAGGTTTGGGCTCCAGAAGGGGACTTAAGTCATCATAAGCACTCAGGAAGACTTCCTCCCCACTTTCCTCTTCTGCTTCAGGCCTGGGGCCGACAAAGTCCAGGGAACAGCAGCTGGGAGCCAGGACAAACTGTGCTTCATCCAGAGAGAGGTCATCCAGGGGTGGCTCCACAGAGAACTCCTCTACCTGTAGGCACAGCATTGTAGTTCAGGACCAAGTGGCTCCGTTCACCCTCAGGCCCTATACCACCCCAAAACCCAGCACAGCTCCTCCTTACCTGAGGCCCAACTCCCAGGAGCTCCTCCAGGTAGCCCATCCCAGGATCGTCCTCCCCAGGGGAGAAGGCTGCTCCTGCTGCTCCTGCCTTGGCTACCTCCCCATCCTCTGCCCCCACCCACTCAGGCTCTGAGCTGCTTGAGTCCTCTAGGAAGGAGAAGGAATCTTGCACCTCCTGGGACAGAGAATCCTCCAGGGCAGGGGCCACATCTGCTGGGCCTGAATTAGCCAAGGGACCTTGGGCTGGACTTGGCTCCAACTTCTCATCTGTTGAGGGAAAGGTAATCTGAGAAATCCAAAGGTTATAGCCAGCCCTGAGACTTTCTAATGTGAGTATTCCTAATATGATACAGTATGGGTCCAACAGGGAGCTCTGGTAGCATAGTGGCTAAGACACTTGCCTGCTAACCAGACAGCTGGCGGTTCAAACCCACCAGCCACTCCTCGGAAGGAAGGTTGGGCAATCCTACTTCCGTAGTGATACTGCCTCGGAAACCCAAGGAGGGGTCGCTATGAGTCGGGTTTGACTCGACGGCACATAACAACAACAACAACATTATATATTCCCACACTAGGACTTAGTAATCCCTGCTCTGTGTGTCTGACACAGACCCCCATTCTTGGATACATCAGTGATCTGAAGGCTGCCAGGGATCTTCTCTCCATGAATTTCACATAACCTAATATTAGATTCCCCCAAACCCAAACCCGGGGAGGGACTGAAGGTAACCACCCCAAAGCCCAAGGACTGAGGCCTCTGACCTTCTCAGGGAAGATCCTAGCATTGGAGCTTCATCCTAGAGCTCTAGTCCCCCTTCCCAGTCCTGGGAAATCCCTAGGTCCTCACCTGGGGGGCCAGGGCCAGGGCCAGGACCAGGGCAAGGGCCAGAGGCAGGAGTTGGCCGGGGCTGTAGGGCAGGGCACTCAAGGCCACGGGTGAGCCTGGCCAAGGAGACATTGGAGATGATGTTTGGGGGCACGTTGAGGATAGAGGTGATGTGTAGGGGGAGGTTGACATTGTAGGGGTCTGAGATGTGGACCCCAGCACAGCGCTCTGCACGGCTGGTACCACTAGCCCGGGCCATTGGCCGCCCAGCTCGTGGTGTGCCTGGCTCAGAGTTTGTGCCGCCCAGTGCCTCTGTCTCGGGCTCCTGCTCGCCCTCTGCTGCCTCCACGGAATCATTCTCACGCAGCATGGGTCTTGGCCGGGGACTGCTGGGTCCCATCAACCCCTCTGGCTCTGTGGAAAGGAAAAAGGACAATAGCTCAGCTGCAAGGGGAAGCCTAAGAACGCTCTGAAGAATGTTCCCTGTTACACCAGGCCCAGCTCCCCTCAGCCACAGAAGACAGTTCACCCCACTTGCACATACCCCTTCCTCTTCCTGCAGAAACAGTCACTGGCCATGACTGCCACACATACACTTAAACATGCATACTGTCCCAGTTACATCTATGTATAAACATGAACATGCACATAGACTATAAGCTTACCACTATTACCCCAGCATCCTGCACAGTGGCTGGTATATAAATTAAATATATAAATAAATATTATATACTCCTCAGAAGGAAGGTTGGGCAATCCTACTTCCATAGTGATACTGCCTCGGAAACCCAAGGAGGGGTCGCTATGAGTCGGGTTTGACTCGATGACACATAACAACAACAACAACAATATTATATATCATTAAATATTTTTGAAATCATTGAACACAGGTGGCCACATATACAGATACACATGCAAACAGAGGAATGCACCCACTGTGGTCTCAGCCATAATATTGTTCTTCTTTTGCAGACACATTCCTAGACATGCACACACACAGATGCACACAGACCTACACTGTTGGTTGCACCACAAACATACATTCACACACAAATGCACGTCTTCACTCTCACCATCACTGGCTCCAGCCGCAGCACTCAGTGAGTCCATGCTCTTGGCTGGCCGCAGTGTCCCTTTATCAGACTTGTCCTCTGCAAGACAGGGATGTGCGTAGAGCCAGGGCCTTGCACACATCGACAGAGCTCATCCCACATCTCCCCAGACTTACCCCTATCTTCGGCCCCTCGTGGAAGTTTACGCTTTGTCTCATGGCCAGAGCGACCCAGATTGAAGATGGATCTCCATTTCCTGACCTTCAAAGACCCTTTCCTCCTGCAGGGAATGGGGAAATAATTGGGGAATTGGGGGAAGGCTCAGTGCAGGGGAGGGGGTGCCCAGGAAAGAGGCCTTACTTGTGCTCAGCAAGCTCAATGATAGTGTGGTAGGGCCGGATCTGTGGGGGTCCATCGCCCGCCTGCAGGATGCTGGGCAGGTGGTAGGGCAGGGACCTGGGCATAAAGTCCTCAGGGCTGTTTGATGCCCGGACTCCTGGAAGCGATCGCCATCCACCCTCCACTTCACCACCTATGAAAAAAAAATTGGCCAGCCAGGAAGAAATCAGAGAGGGAACTCAGGCACCTAACCCTTCATTGCTCTCTCCCCATCACCAATTGCCAGGCTGGGTATATACACAGAGACCCACAGGAAGAGGCCCTCCAAAGCCCTCAAGAAGGGGCCATAATGGACAGAGAGGGCTAGGAGGTCCCAGGACATTGGCCTGGTGAGCTGGGGTTGAAAATGAGCAATCATTAGCTTTAAGGGCCAGGAGGGTAAGTGAGAGCTCAGGCTACACCCTGGACTGAGAGTAGAATAGTCCTGTTCAAGTCTTCACTCTGCCATTATCTTACCAGGGTCTTTTCCATGTGATAATAAGCAACATCTCCTCTTTGTGCCTGGACTCATTTTTTTTTCATCTACAAAAGGGGAAGCCTGGACTAGTTGATCTTGGAGGCATTCTGTAACTCTGACATGACCACCTGGACAAAAGTGGCAATGTGGTGGGTGGGGAGGACACTGACCAGAGAGGGTAGCACCCCCGAAGAGCTGGTCCACATGTGTGAGGATGAACTCGACGACAATGGACTGCACACGCACCTCCATGAAGGCTGCTGTCCCATTGAAGCCTGAGGCCTCTATGTCCTTAGACCTGTGGAGATGTGAAGTTACTGTGCTCCCACCACTACCACACCTCCCCATTCTAATGCTCCCTGAAAATACCTATATCCTTTCCCCTGGATTCCCTTAACCCTGTTTCCACCTCTTAAATCACACACATGATTCAAGTCTCAATGCCACTTCTTCCAGGAAGCCTTCTAGGACCCCCTCCTCAGAATTGACTTTTGCTTCCTTTGCATACCCAAATTGCCTTGTTCGTAATGAACCACCAGACTTCTCATAGCTTGCCTTAAGCCACAGTGAGTGGCATGTAAGTCAATCCTCCAATAGACTGTAAGACATTTGCTCAATGAACATTTAGGCACTAATGGCAGTGGGTTTTTTTGTTTTTTTTTTTCCCCAGTTATCCTGTTCTAGTCTCTGAGTTCAGTGATAAAGTGATGGGCTTTGCTTGAGCTCAGAGAAGGGACTCAATGTGGCTGGAGGAGGTCCCTATCCCACTCAATGCAGTACTGAACCTCTCTGTTTGTCAGTGGGCTCTTTGACACTCCACAGCCCTCTCCAGTGTGCCCACACATCCACACCCCCACCCTGGAGCATCCTCCCAAGCTAGTCTCTCCCAGGATCCTCACATACACGCTCATTCATGCTCCCACCTGAGTAGGTTGGGGGCCCACACAATGGCCAGGTTTCGGGCATGCATGTTGGTCTGGGTGCTGAATGAAGCCATATGCACCAAGTGCCGCATTAGGAACTCCAGGGTCCTGCAGGAAGGAGACATCATTTAACAAGGACATATCTAGACTGGGCCTGGGGCCTGGGACCTGGGAGAAGGAGAGGTCAAGGCTCCAGGTGGAGAGAGAGCTCAGGGTGTGTGCGTGTGTGTGTGTGTGTGTGTGTGTAAGTCAGGACTCTCTGGTGGGAGTAGTGGAGCCACACACACCTGTAGTTTGGGACAGGGAGTTCTTGAAGCACCTCTAGGATCTTGACCAAGCGTTCAGGTTCCATCTGTACTGCCACAGCCTCCTGATTCAGGGGGAAGGTACAAGGAGCAGGAGTCAATGACCCAGGAATGCCCTCACTCACTCCCCAGAGTTCTAAGCCAAACTCTCAGGAACGATCTGTGCTGTACCCTGCACTTCCCAACAGATGTTCTGAGGCAGATTGGCATAATAGAGAGAGCTCAGAATCTGCGGCCCACAAGACCTATGGCAGAGTAGAGTCATCTAACAGATGTGTGACCTTGAGCAACTCATGGTCGCTCCCTGTGCCTCAGTGTTCTCATCGGCAAAGCTCTAGTACTGGAATGTATCTGTGGATCCAACCTCAAGGGTACCCCTAGGACTGCAGGGCTCTTGAAAGTTGTCTAGGGAGGCTTACACTCACACAGCTGGCAGAGGATGAGGGCAATCTCTTCCCTAAGACAACACCTTCAGGGTCTCTTCGTGCAGTTGTGCTCAATAAAATGTAACTCAATTCAATTCAGGATAGCATTTTTATCATGTGTTGTCTCATTCAAGATATAGTCACCAAACAGTTACAGCTAATAGAGGGACAGCCTTGAAAATGCTTTGGTTTCTAAAACATGTTCTCATTCTCTTAAATGCAGGGGATCTCTGGTCTAGGTGATTTCCAAGGGATCTTCCAACTTTGCTAATCTGCTACTACTGTCCCCAAGTCCCACCATCTCAATGGCCATGTGCAGTCTGCTGGCCTGAAAAGGAAAAGCTATGGTGGAGGGAGAGTGAAGAGAAGAGAGACAAGGGGAGGGCAAGGTAGCAGCGCTAGGAGATTGGGATGGGAGTGTCTTTCCTCAGTAATGCTTTATTGTAGTCTCTGTCACTCAGGTTCACTAGGACTCTCACTGGCATGTGACACACCTGGGGTATTAAAACCAGAGCAGGTGCCCTGAGCCCCTTCTTCCACACCCACTGCCTCTCAACTCACAGCAAACTTGTCATAGAGCCGGTAAGTAAGTAGGGGGTCTGGCAGTTCTCTGAAATAGGCCTTGCACAGAGAGGAGACGCAGTGAATGTCCTGGAGGTAAACATCCCGGCGCAGGTCTGGCTTCCGCTCTGCCTCAAACTCCTGCCTGGGGAAGTGCAGAGTGGTCAGGAGTGGTAGGAATTGGGGAAAATGTGAGGCAAGGTGGGAGCTGTAGGGATGGGCTCCAGATGGGGCTGTGGCTCACCATGTCCGGAACTTGAAAGGAGAATGTCTGGACATGTACACAAGGCAGGAAATGTAAGGCATTGCATATGGAAATGTGAAGATGGGAATGTGGAAACAGGTAAGAGCATGAGTAACAAGACTGTGCCTGAACAGGGGTATATGTCAGGGATATAGATGTCAATGTTAAATAGGCATATGTTGGAGACAGTAGAAGTGGGGGAATGGACCTAAGTAGGTGTTTCTGGTATGTGTAAAGGGCAATGGGTATAATTCTTAGAAAAAATTAGGGGTAAACCATCATAACTTTAGATTTGGCAATAGTTACTTAGATATGATATAAAAAGCACAAACAACCAAAGAAAAAGTAGCTAAGTTAGACTTTATCAAAATTAAGAACTTTTGCTTGTCAAAGGATACTACCAACAAAGTGAAAAGACAACCCACAGAATGGGAGAATATATTTGCAAATTATATATCTGATAAGGGTTAAGTATCAAGATTATATAAAGATCTCTTATAATTCAACAATAAAAAGACAAATAATCTAATTTTAGATTTGTTGTTGTTGTTGTTGTTTGCCGTCGAGTCGACCCCGACTCATAGCGACCCCTCCTTGGGTTTCCAAGGCAGTATCACTACGGAAGTAGGATTGCCCAACCTTCCTTCCGAGGAGTGGCTGGTAGATTAGACAAAGGATTTGAATAGACATTTCTAAGGAAGATATAGGAGCTCTGGTAGCATAGTGGCTAAGACACTTGCCTGCTAACCAGACGGCTGGCGGTTCAAACCCACCAGCCACTCCTCGGAAGGTAGGTTGGGCATTCCTACTTCCGTAGTGATACTGCCTCGGAAACCCAAGGAGGGGTCGCTATGAGTTGGGGCCGACTCGATGGAAAACAACAACAACAACAACAACAAAGGAAGATATACAAATGGCCAATAAGCACATGAAAAGATGCTCAACATCATTAGTCATTAGGGAAATGCCAATCAAAACCACAGTGAAATACTACTTCACATCCACTAAGATGACTATAATTAAAAAGACATAACAAGTATTGGAGAGGATGTAGAGAAATTAGAACCCTCATACATTGCTGTTGGGATGGTATAGTGAGAAAGCCAGTACAGAAAGCAGTTTGGCAGTTCCTCAAAATACTAAATTTCAAGCTACCATATGATCCAGCAATTCCACTGGTAGGTATGTACCCAAAAGAATTAAAAAATATGTTCACACAAAAATTTGTATATGAATTTTCCTAACAGCAGTACTCATAATAGTCAAAAAGTGGGAACAACTCAAATGTCCATCAACTGATGAATCAAAAAACAAAATGTAGTATAAACATGCAATGGAATATTATTTGGGCAGAAAAAGGAATGAACTACTGATCCATGCTACACCACAGATGAACCTTGAAAACAGTTTGCTAAGTGAAAGAAGTTAGACGCAAAAGGCCATATATTGCATGATACTATATTTATATGAAATGTTCATAATGGATGAATAGAAAGTAGATTAGTGGTTGCCAGGGGCTAGGAGAAGGGGAAAATAGGGAGTGACTGCTAATGGATATGGATTTCTTTTTGGGGTGATGAAAATATTCTGGAATCAGATAATGGTGATGAATGTACAACCTTGTGAATATATTTAAAAAGTAAAATGAATTGTATACTCTATATTGATGAATTTTATGGTGTGTGAATTATGGTAAATTTAAAAAGAAAACAAGATGGCTCAGTGTGTGCACGTGTGTGTATATTGGGCTGGCAGAGGATGAGGGCAATCTCTTCCCTAAGACAACACCTAACATCTTCTCTGCTCCCCTCACCCCTCCTCTCTGCTCTCCCCAACACCCTCCACCATGGTCCTCTGGCTCCCTGGCCTCCTGGCCTCAGAGCCCTCCCAGCTCTGCCTGACTCACCGGAGCTTCTGGATGTTGGAAGAAACCCCTGAGAGGCGGTAGATCCCATCCACCACTCCATACTCCTCCACAAACTCTGCGCAGCTCCTTAGCACCTGGGGCACTGGGAACATAGATGAGGTGGAGAAAAAGAAATCAGGTCTGGGAGGGAAGAGACTACAGAAGGTCTGACAGATGGGTGCACCAGGCTAGAGGATGTTGGGAGATTGAGGGTGAAGCTCATGGAATAAAAACTTTCAGAAAGATTCTTCCAGATCATACCCACCAACCCCTCTACAGCATCTTTGCCCATTGGGTTCAAGAGCCTCACATAAACCCCTCCAGTGATGGGTAGCTTATTCTCTCTCCAGACAGCCCCATTCCTTTGTGAGAAACTTCTACTTTATGTTGAGCTGAAATTTGTCTCTCTGTAATTACTAGTTAGAGTCCCTGAGTGGTACCAACGGTTACCACACTTAGCTGCTAACCACAAGATTGGAGTTTAGACTTCACACACAGGCACCTGGCAATCTACTACCGAAAAATCAGCCATCGAAACTCTATGGAGCACAATTCCACTGTGACACACATGGGATCGCCATGAGTTGGGACCACCTCCAGGGCAACTAGTTTAATTACTGGTTTCTGCTTCAGAATTTTTAAGGATTAGCAATCTGGTTGGGAGGATAAAGGAGTGGTCTTGAAAGTCCATTTGCATAACACTCTACAGAATATAAAGGAAATACTAATTGGGTGAATCAAAATGGAGCAGGGCTGATGGAGGTGGTTACTGAGAAGTACCCCCTTTGGTAAGCAAGTTCATAGATATTAGCTCCATCCTAGGAAGGATACTAAATAGTAACGGACCTTCAAATATGTCAGTTCAGAAGGGGATGGACATCCCCTATGTTAACTGCTTTATATATATTCTGTCATTTAGTTCTGTAAATTTGGTATTCTATTTTCCATTTGACAAATAAGAAAACTGAGAGAATCAAAGAAATAATGGGTCCCAAGTATCACCCAGCTAGAACCAGTATTAAAATTCAAGAGTCTAAAAAGTTATATTATCTCCCAGGCCCTGGTCCCTCTTCTTCTGTTACTAAACTGTAAACTCTTTAAAGACAAGATCTAAGTATGATCCATCTTGGTGTTGTTCGTATTATCTGACATGGTATCTCAGACATTTTCAGACATGGTACCAGAAAAAAAAAAATCAAACTAGTTGTCATCCTGTTGAATGTGACTCATGGCAGCCCCAATGTACTTCAGAGTAGAATTGTGCTCTCTAGGTAGGGACAGGTTACTCAATAAGCAAGGTAAGCACAGGCTGACTTATGCTTACTTACTAATCTGTAGTGAGCAATTTCACATTTTTCACCACATGTGATGTGAATTTATTCACTACAGATTAGTAAATAAGCACAAGTAAGCCCATGCTTACCTTGTTTACAAGGTACTCCATTCCTGTCGTGAATTGTGAATTTGGGAAGAGGCTTTGATTCTGTAGGAAGGTACTGTTGGGTTGAGAGAGAAAGCTAGATGTCAGCCATAGCAAGAGCAGAATCTCTGATGTGGAGATAGATATAAAAGTCAGAGACAAGGACCATTTGTGCCACCCAGGGACACTTCTCAGGGATGATGTTGTTGTTAGGTGACTTTGAGACTTTTTAAAATTTATACTGACCCCGTGTGACAGAGCAGAACTGTCTCATAGGGTTTTCTTGGCTATAATTTTACAGAAGCAGATCACTAGGTCTTTCTGCCACAGAGCTACTGAGTGGGTTCAAACTGCCAAGCTTTCCATTAGCAGCCAAATGCTTAACCATTTGCACCACAAGGGATCCCTCTCAGACACATAGATCCTTGGAAGCCATGTGTCAGAGCTGGTCTCCACACAGCCACACAGTTATCTTTCCAAAGCACATCTCTGATTTAAATCTTTTGCTACAAACTCTCTGCTTCACCCCACCCTAATCCCCATTGCTTACCTTACAGATACAGAATAAAGTAACAACTCCTCAGTATGGCATTTAAGACACAAACCAGGTCCAGCCACCATTCCAGCCTGAGCTCCGATGAATTCTCTCTATAAATCCTATAAATTCAGCTCTTGCTAGTCCATGAACAGCCTTGGTACCATCACTCATGTTATTTCCTTGCCTGGAATTCCTTCTCTTCTGATTCTGCCTGGTGAACTCCTATGCGTTCCTCAAAACACATCTCAAATCCTTTACTCATACCTGCTTTATAGTACTTACTGCACTTTGTTATGATTAGTTTATTTTATATTTACACCTTCTGACAAATAGTAACCTCCTGTCCAGTATTTAGCAGTGTTGAAATAGAGCAAGTGCTCAATAAATGATTCAACAAATTAATCAATGAATTATGAGAACCAGTGGCATCCCCGTGGGGATTTAGTGGAGACTATTGCCTATGACAAAACAATTGGTTCTATTTACAGGAACCCACCAGAGAAATTCTTCTCAGATCTCAATGTAAAAAAAAGCTAAGCCTCTCTTTTTGTTGTCGTTGTTCTTATGGGCCTGATGAACTCTGTACCTGATATGTTTACCTCTTTACTTTCACCACTAGGAATCTCAGAGTCAACCTCCAGGAACCATATCGAATTACTTGACATGCATTTCTGGGTGCTGATCTTACTCTCACTCTTATCTTACTCTTACTCTTGTTTTTCCTTCAACCCCATTCTTTCCATCATTTACTCTATTTTTTTTAAATAAACTTTTGTATTTTGAAAGTCATCCCAAGCTCTCTGTGAAATAAAGTGAGATAGAAATGCATAATATGGAATGAAAGAAACAATCAATAAATAAATCCATCAACAACTATCTTTAAACCCTCTTTATGTGACCTGGTTTCCAGATGCTTCACCCTCCTGCACACCAGAGCCAGGACTAGGATGAGACAAGGAAGGTACCTAGGGTACAAGAAAGCACTCACTCTCAGGTTTTCCCAAGTGCCAACTCTGCACTTACACAATCTTGAGAGTAAGTGCCTCCTTAAGAATGAGTTGTTTAGGATACTTACATGACCCTGAGATTAATTGCCTCTCAAATTTTGCATCCTAGGCACCTCTCTTGTCTCACACTAGTCTTGACCCTGCAGTACAACACCCCATAAAGACCTGCTCCATTTGTCAGAGTACTCCAACCTTAGGTCCCCAGCATTGAATGCAGAGAGGGGTACATCCTTCCTTGTTTGAGCTGCTGCTCTATTCTTGGGTGCCTGAGGCTACACCAACTCTTTTGGTCATTGCATTACCCTGTTGACTCATAAAGAGTCTACTGTCACCTAAAACCCCCAGGTTCTTTTCCTACGAACAGCAACCAAGCCAGGCTTTCCCATCCTGTCCTTCTCTGTTGATTTTGAACCTCCTGAGAAGGCTCTTAAAGAAGGCATTTGAGAGCCTAAGGAGTCAAAGCCAAAGAAGATATGTGTCAAAGAGATGGAGGAAGAGAAACAGGGGTCAGAGAAATAAGAGTCAAAGAGATAGAAATTGGAGAGATGAGGTCAGAGATAAAAGTTAGAGATAGGGTTAGGGTGATGGAGTCAAAGGGCTGGAGACATCAAGGATGGAGATTGGGTCAGGAAGGAAGGCCCCAAGCTTACAGACTTGGAGAATCAGAAATCTGAACAAGGGAGTAAAGATGTAAGGATTGGGAACAGGAAGAAATCAGTACATAGAAGGGTTTAGGGAAAGAAGAGACTCACTTGGGGGCAGCGAGCTGAGAGAGGAGGCTGAGATGAACAAAAAAGGTGAGGATGAAAACTAGCAGTCAGAGTAGATAAATTAGGCAGAAACATGTATCCCCACTGGCCTGGTCTCTCATTTTCTTGCTGGGTCTTGGGTTAACAACAGAAGCCATCACCAATCTCTGTCTGTTCTCTACTTTCCACCTTTGTGTGCCAAGAGGAGGTGAAAGATAGTGCAGGAGGCTGCTATTGTGACTCTAGCACCCAAGATCACTCTACCCTTGGGCTCAGGTGGGGTTCTGGTCAGGGCAGAGGGCACTTCTCTCTCACTGTGGGATTCACCCAGGGTCAGGATCCAGCAACCAGATGTCTATTCCCTCTGGAGAGCATGCACCTCACCTGCTGGAAATGCGAACGGAGGAGGAGAGCTGAGAGATCAGCCCCAGTTAAATGATATATCCTTGGGTCAACAATCATCATTCTCAAGAGAAATCCCTTGTTAAGGAGTAAACCTTGCACTAGCAACTGAACCAGTTCGGTCCACTCTGAGAGGAAGGCTCAGAACAGCCCCACTTGGGCTGTGTGAGACTCTTTCTTGCGGCCTGGGCTTTCCCTTTAGGGGAGGTCAATGTGGATGGGGACCTCTGAGTGGAGGGGGAGAGAAAAAGGGAAGGAGGTGTCTGGGGAGGCAGGGGCGGGGCCGGGAGCAGGAAATGAGCTGGGAACCACCACCACCCTCCCTCCACTGCAGGCGCTACAGTCCCAGAACAGAAGAGGGGACAAAGAGGAAATGACAGATTGGGGTGGGGTGTGGGGGAAAGAATCATGCCCTTCACTGGGAGGAGCTCAAAGTGCTAAAAACAAGCTGGATTAGGCTGGGCTGCCAGGATACCTGGGTTCAACTTCAAATCAACTCAAGAAGTATTGTTAAGAGGCTATTCCATGCCAGGCACAGTTGTGGATCCTGTGATGTCCCTGGTCCTGCTAGCTTCCTGCCTACTCCAAGGCAACTCAGGAAGGGAGCCAAGCAAACTCCACAGATAGACCTCACACCCACCCTCCTTTGTCCTTCCACCCCCATCTTCAAACCAGGCCTCCAGTCATCTCTTTCACTCTTCCCATGTTCCCCATTTCACCAGCTTCTCTCCTCACCCTTCACTTTGAACCTGTTTCTGTTTTGCACAGAACAACTGGAAAATCACAGGGAATGGGGGAGAGGATTAACCCCACCCCAGATCCCACCTGTGGGCCAGCGAGACTGCAGAGGGGTCAGAGCCCATAACCTTAACCCTGGGATTGCTCTTCCAACTGGGAAACCCTCATCCTCCCCAAATGCCATCCTCAGACTCTCCTGGGGCCCTTCTCCTATCTCTTTTCATTCAACCCCAAGGACCATCCATTGCTCCTTGGCCACTCCTCCTCTGACCCTGTCCTCTCAGCTCCCTCTCCCATTCTCAGTCTCCTTCCCCTCCATTTCCACTTTTTCTACCTCTCTAGGGTCTCCAATCTCTCCATCCTCTCCCTCAGTGCTCTCTCAGTGTTCCCAGGCTCATCTCCTCAGCTGCTTCATCCCCAGGCAATTGCATAAGAGAGCTACCCTGCCTTCTTCACTGAGCTGCATTTCCTGCCTTGCCGCCCATCAACCTCTTGGGTGGTGACCGGGCTACTGCCCCTACCTCAGGTGCAACCAGAAGCTGCTTCTACCCCTGGGACTAGATCCAGCTTGAGAAGGTCTGTACTCCCATTCCCCCCACAGCAGCTCTGAGGTGTCTCCTTACCCTCCTGGCCTGAGTGCTGCAGGTGCTCCTGCAAGTCACACCCAAACACCCGCTCCTTCGAGTTGCCTTTCTTCTTTCCTTTCTGTCGAGACTTCATGACCGGAGCCCCAGGGCTCTGGCCCAGCCACCTCTGTCCCCCAAGACCTTTGCCCTACCAGTCCCCCATGGGATCCCAAGCTGGCCTCTGGGCTTGGCCCAGCCCCAGGGGGGCAGGGCTCCAAGCTAGGGGTGGAGGGTGGCCTGGGCAACTGGCTGCAGCTCTTGCCTCTGGAACCCCAACCACACGGAAGTGGCTGTGGAAGAGGAAGCTGTCAGGACCCCAGCAAGAAGCTGTGTCTCGTGGCGCAGCCTGGCACTCGCCTTTCTTGCCCCGTTCAGCCCTTGGGGGGGGGGGGGGGGCAGAAGACAGGAAGCTGTGCAGCTCCTCAAACCCGCTTCCTGTTAGAGCATCTTTGCAACCACAGGGCCTAGGGTGGGGGAGGTAGCTGACATTCACATCCTTACTCATTTCTGGGACTGTGCTAATTGGTCCAGGGTGGTGATGTCAGAGCCCTGGGTGGGGTGATATCGCCTGGGGTAGGAGCAGGTAACTGACACCCTTAGAGACCAGAATTCTAGGGTCCATGGTGGTAACCCAAGGCTTGGCTGGCAGCAAGGCAGCACATGGCTGTGTACAGCACACCCAGGAGGGAGAATGGCCAGGCTCTGCCTCTGACAGGCCTATAACCTCAGTCAAGTCACATTGCCTCACTCAGCCTGTTTCCATGTTTATGAACATGAAAAGGGCAGAGTAGACAATCTTTCAATCCTCCCAGCTCTAACATTCTATGACTTATTCAACTTGAGTTTCAGTTTCTTTATCTGTAAAAATGTACACTGCTGTCTACCTCACAGGTCTGTAGTTATGAGACTCCAGTACAATAAAGGATTTAAAACACTTTGCAAACTAAAACACTGGACATCCTGGAAGTGATTCTTAGCTCCACCATCCTACTGTGGACTAGCAGATATGGCTGAAAGTCTTGTGGAGGCCAATTCTTTCCCATTTCCCTCTCAGCTACATGCATTCTAACTCCTCCTCTACTTGTGATAACAGGAAGGATGGTCCTACGACAGAGAATATAGGGATTCAGGCTTACCCAGGCCAAAAGGCAAGACAGCAACCACATATAACAGGTTTTATCTGTTTATTTAAAAACAGAATATCATTTTATGTACAAATATGCACATATTTACACAAAATGTACACAGTAGAAATGGGATAGTAGACTCAAAGTCCTGGGCTGGCTAGGAAGCAGGGAATGAGAGTCTCTCCTTTGGTCCAGAAAACCAGCAGATTCCAGGCCACAAAGGCTTGGGCGCAGAATCTAGGTATTTTGGTTAAGTGTGTTTGGGTGAACCAGGCAAAATAGATTTCATCTAACTCCAGGTTCCATCTAGTGAATCTGCCCAAGGGGCCCTGAGATTAAAGACCCAGGAACCCCTGGGAGAAAAGGAGGCATTTGTGCCCAAGCACCTGCTTCACCTCACCTGAATCCCTATCCTCCTTTGATGTGTAATCAATATCCTCTCTTCCCTATACCACAGCTGAACCAGGAGCCCTGTCACCAAGCCCCAGCAACTCCCCAGAGGACCACAAACAACTGTGGATAGAACTGAAAATAGAGACAAGGCTAGGGAAAGAGTTGAGGGGCTACTAGGGCCAAGGACCCTACCTAGTTCTCCTTTAGCCAGTAACCATGGAGGCTTGCACTCCTAATTCACACTTCAGGCTGTCTCCAAGGGGCTGCCTAGATGAACATGCCTTAGAAGGAGCACCTTTCAGAGCTGCGGGAATTGACCCCATGGGAATGGAGTCCAAGCGAGAGCTAGATTTGCTGAATTTCAGTGTTGGCTGGAATTGTTAACTATTCCAGTAACAGATGTCCAGACAAATCAAAAGTTTTTCTTCAAAAGTTTTTTCTCGTAGTAGAGGGTTTGAAGCATTATTACTTAAGGGAGCTCACCCTGTGAAGGTTTATTTACAAAAATACACAGCGGGCCCAGAGGCCACCAGAGGGCAGAAGGCTTTAGCCATAACAGTTGGAGCATCTGGCAGAACCCAAGGCCAGCCAGCTGTTTCACACTTTCTCCAACCCGCTCCCAGGTCAACGGAGCCTGGTTCCCCCCACCCAGGAGGCCAGATTCCAGCCCAGCTATGCATGCACACCTGGACCTGGCTCCCAGTCTCGATCTCTCACCTCCAGCCTCTGTGTCACTAATACTGCTCTAGGGTCTAAGGAAAATACCTGCATTCACAGGCAGAGGTCACACACATCCACATGAAACACAAGTCCCCAACAGTGTTCCCCACACAGCCACCCGAATCCTGGGACACACACAAACACACACACCACACGCCACATTTTACTTGGACTCTGACTTGACAGCAGAGACATGCCATGGTGCACATCTAGGACACAGTCACCCTTCCAGGCACTCGCAACAAGTGACACTCACACAAGCACAAATGCACACACACAGTGACCTGTACACATGGGGGAGAAACTCAGCCTGTGGAGACCTCCCGTCCTCGGACAGAAGAGGTCGAGGAAAAGGCGAGCAGTCAGTGGAGTGGGGAGCATCTTCCTCAAGAAACAGGGGCATTTAAGAGGCCCCCAAAGTGAACTGAAATCCCCCATGTCAGCAGAAGGAGCAGGCTTAGGGGAGGGAGGCAGGCCTGGGTCAGACCAGGTGCCCCCGTCCATTAATGTAGATGCCATTGCCCGTGGGCTTGGCCCGCAGGGTCCCATTCTCCTGAACAAAATGGTTCATGGCCTGTTTGATGCCTTCATCCCGATCTTCCTCCTCCTCTGCCCGCCCATGGCCTGGAGACAGCAGTTCAGTCTGTGTTTCAATCTCTCTCACCGTGGTCAGCGTGGAATAACTACGGCCCTCTGGCTCTTCACTCTGGAGACCAAGGGAAGAGAGCAAGTCAGGAGCCAAGACAAGGGGGCAACCAGACACAAAGCTGGGCATGTGTGGGGCAGGGTGGGGTCAGAGGTCAGGCAGAAGCAGGCGGTTGGGTTGTCTCCGAGGCAATAGGGCTCAGAGGTCAGGGGCCAGGAACCAGTGGTAGGCATTGGGGAGGGGAGACAGGAGCACAGAGCATAGCAGAGATGTGGGCTGGGCAGCGGGCTGGGCAGTGAAAGCCAGAGCTGAAGTGAGAGGGACTGGTGAGGGGCTGCTGACACGCAACATCTGGGACCAGGAGAGGGGCCTGAGGAGAGTGGTAGGGACACCGGTGGGGCCGGGGGCCTCACCATCACAGAGCAGCTACTGTTGTCCTTGAGACTATCAGGGTGGCCCTCGGCTCTCAGCCCTACACTCTCCTCCGGCTGCAGGGCCCGGACATGGAGGAGGGGTTAGAACACAGCTCAGCCTTTCTACCTCTGTCCTCCACCAGCCTCCTCCCTAATCATCTGTCCCCAAACCCAAGAGGTCTGCTCTCTCCTCGACACCAACCACCTCATTCCCCTCCTCTACCACCCAATCCCTCCCTGGAATCTGTGTTGATAGTGGTTTCCCAGAGCAGCCCCTAAGCCAGTGCTGAACGGGGCCTTCCAGAGGAACCCCATCAAACCCAAAGCAGCTCTACTCCCCAACTCTACCTCCAGCCCAGTCCCAGCTATGGATTAGCAGTCAGATCTGGAAGAGGCCAGACCTGGTGTTCCTGGTCTCCAGAGGAGCCCAGATACAACAAACCTTGGTGGGGCCACACTCCATTCATGTACCCACTCTGGGCACTCACCTGGCTCCTAGGGTCCGTGTGATGGGAATGCAGCCTTCGGATGGAGTTCTCCCTGGTTAGAGTCAGCTCCTCCTCACTGGGAGAGACACAACTTTGTCAGGAACTAAGGGTAGTGGTAGCCTCCTAAAGTAAGCCCAACCTGGCCCAGCCTATGTGAGACCACGCTGGAAGCTCAGCTATCACTGCAAGGGTGAGTGTATGCCCACAGGGGGCGATATGGCTGGCAGTATTTGCCAACAGCCTGTGTACGTGTGAGGGGCCTGAACAGCATGTACATGCCCATGTGGACCGAGTGTGTACTTGGTGAACTTGTGTATGTACATCTGATCCTCAGGCAGAAGGTTCCCTCAGTTAGCTGTGATCTAGGCCCAAGGTCCTTCTCATCTCCAGAAAGACCCTGCCCACCTCTCTGGGTTAATAACCTTCCCAGATATCAGGACATCCAGGCTCCAATCTCTCCTTGGTCCTGGCCCACCTTCTGTTTGCCTTTTCTTGGTTCCCAGCTTCCTCTACCTTCCCAGGGGCAGCCAGTACTCACTACTTCTGGGTCATCTGCTGGGCCTTGCGCCGATGGTATCGGGACATGAGCACCACCACCACCACCAGAAGGCAGAACAGGAGTGCGGCAATCACGCCCACTGCCACCACCGAGGCAGATACCAGGTCCACCTGCTTCACATTGGCATCCTGAGGGTCTGCTGGGGACAGGCCACTGTCTGAGGTTGATGCCTAGATCCCTCACCCACCCCAGGTCCCACATCCTTACACACATTGTCCTCCCAAAACACATCCCAAACCATTCTCTTGCCTGATCCCTGCAAAATACATACTGTCCAACACCCTGCAGTTGAATACTTTCCCAACTCACTCTCTCTGTCCTGCTTCCTGTTGCCCCCACCAGACCTTGGGCACGGGTCTACTCCCAGTGCTTACCAAGAACATCCACAGTGACCTGAGAATCCCTCGAGGAAAGCTCATTGCTGACATGGCAAACGTAGATGCCACTGTGCTCAGGGGTCAGCCGAGGAAAGCCCAGAGTGGCCCCTTCCACTCGGACACCACTGGGCAGAGGCCCATCCAGCCTGGAGGACACGGAAGCTGATGGGTGCCAGCTGGGGCGGGCTGAGGCTGCCACCACCTAACGTGCCTGGGCAGCTCTTCACCTCCCTCCCCCATGACGTCACCTAGAGCCGCTGGCTGTTCCCACGGTGCCCCTCCCTCCCTTAGGCAGGTCTAGGCAGAGGCCCCTTCTCTCTGCCGCCCAGTCTGACCCGGGCACCCCCCACACACACTCAGGGAAGATCCACATGTGTGCCATCCCATATGTGCCCACAGGCATCACGTCATCCAACACTGGGTACCAGTACAGAGTTGCAGTACGGCATTCACATGTTATAAAGTCCACACAGTAGGACCTCTACTCCTATGTAGGCTCAGATATACATAGAAAATGTGACCACATGCTCCAAGACCTGTGATGTTGCATGGCAGAGCACATGAATAAAGCCTCAAACCCAAGGCCACATGCATAGCTTACATGCTCCCATGTGAGAACATGCCTGTCATGGGTTCACACACATGTGCACTTGACCCTTCCCTGGATTCTCTGGATCCTGGAAAAATGCCAAGAACTCCTTAAGGGAACTGCGTGGATGCAGCAGTAGTGCTTCTGAGGTGCTGGCCATGTGATAGTGATTATATGGGTGTTGGTTTTACAACAATTACAGTCAGCTGCACATTTTTGCTGATGTACTTATGTAAATAACATATTAATATTAAAATTCTGTGTCATATTTCACAATTTAAAAGTTAGAAAAAAAGCCAACGACTCTGGCACTCTGATTTCTTTAGCTTATTTCCAGCCAACGACCATGTATCATAAATTCCTGGGACAAGCCAATAATAAGGATCTGGTGACTCCATGCATATTCTTGCGTTCATCTAAACATGTGCCCCAACTTATTTGAGGTTCAGAATATATTGTCCCAGTCCCATAATGAGTACATACTGGTCCTAAGAAGGAAGGGCTGTAGTCTCAAGCTAGGCCTGATGAGGGCTCTCACCGTGTCCAGTTGTATGAGGGAGGGGGTTGCCCTTCACTGAGGCACTTAAGTGTAGCTCCTTCTCTGCCAACATGCCATATACTTTGGTCTTCAAGGCCCCTCACAGTGGCCTCAGTAAGGACTGGAATGGGAAGTGGGAGGAGAAAGAGTGGAAATGATACCTTTGATCATGCCGCTCCCCAAAGAGTCCCCACCCCATGTTCCACCCTACCTGGAATAGTCTCCCCCTGCCCTTCTCCATCCTACTCATTAGCTGCCAAAGCCTAGCCTGGCCCCATCTCACTGACAGCTTCCTGGCCACACTCTTCCCTCCCCTCTCTAAACCCAAAGAGTCCACATTGGTTTACTTGTGCAGTAAGTCTATAAGTCCTTAGAGTAGCAATTATATTACTCTTTTTCTGAATCCTCCATAGTGCCAAGCATAGTGCTAGTCACAGGTGCTCAATAAATATTCCCTGACTCATATTGATTCGTTAATTTCTTTAACAAACATTTGTTGAGAGCCTACTTTGTGCCAAGTGCTGAGTTAGTATGAGTAGAAAACAGTCCTGTCCTCCCAGGGGCTCTAAGTCTAATGCTGGGAAAACTACCTTTACTGAGCACATTGTATGTGCTAAGCAGTGTGTAAGATGCTTTACATTCATGGTTACTAATTCTCATCAGAACCCTGTAAAGTTGGTGTAATTCTACTCATTTTGCTGATGAAGAGAATGAAGCCTAACAAGATTAAGTAACAGCTAGTAAATAGTACAGCTATGGCTTATCCCAAATCTATCTGTCTTTAAACCTTAAACTAAGGAGCAGTGGTGGCACAATGGTTAAGCACTCAGCTACTAACTGAAAGGTTGAAAGTCTGAACCCACCAATGGCTCCTCAGGAGAAAAGACCTGGTGATCTGCTCCTGTAAAGATTACAGGCTTGGAAACTCTATGGGACAGTTGTACTGTCCTATAAAGTCACTGTAAGTCGGAATTGACTCAACACACAACAATCAACCTTAAACTGTGTATTTTACAACATGCTTTCAATTCTATTTTTGTACTAATTCTCTCAACAACCATGGGAAGCAGAACAATCTCCTTTGTAAAGATGAGGACACTGAAGCTCACAGAGGTCTAAGCAGTTTGCCAAAGTTATCTGGCATTGGACTCCAGGTGTCCAATCTTTGGACTAGTAGTCTCTCAACCACACAATATGGTCTCTAGGATCCAGGCTGGCCAGGCTGGTGCGACTCATGGTGTCTCACCAATCCTCTCAGAGCCCATGGGAGTCCCGACCCAAGCATCCCAGTACTCACAGGCCACTTGGAGAATGTGAGTGATCCTTTGGTCCTGGAGCAGGCCAGGGTGGGACACCACACAGGTAAGTGGTTGCCCATTCATGCTGCGGCTGGGCACCAGGTGGAACTCTGAAGTGACAGCAGCGGAACGGGAGTGCGTGAAGGAGCGGCTAGAGGCTGTGCCCTTGACCTCTGTGTCCCAGGTCACACTGGGGGCCGGGCTGCCCTCAGCTGTGCAGGAGGCTGCCAGGGTCAGGCCCTGGCCCTCTTCTAGTGCTGGACCAGGATTCAGGGAGGGCAGGGGAGGCACTGTGGGTGGAGGGAGGCCAGGTTAGGAGTCTGAACAACCCCTGTCAGGAGACTCAGCCCCCTCTCATCTCAGTCTTACACAGGCACAAACTTTCAGGCTCTTTTGTCTTCTGTAACTTCAACACCAAAGACGCTAGCTGAGTGGCATAACTTCAGGTGACTTTTACTATTGTCTCTGTACCTTTCCCCATTGTTTGAATTTTTTTACAGCCAGCATGGGTCATTTTTTAACAAAAATAATGAAGTAATTAAAAAAACTAACCAAATAACATCTATATAATAATAATAGCTGCCACTTATTAAGCACTTATTATGTGCCAAGCATTATGTTATCCACTTTATAAACATTAGTTCATTTAATCTTGTGAACAAACCAGTGCAGTAGGCATTATTATTTCTATTTTACAGGTGAAGAAACTGAAGCTCAAGGAGAGTAAATTACTTATCTTAGGCCATCAGCTATTAGGTGACAAAACCTAGATCCACATTTAAGTTTTTCTACTCCAAGGGTAGTTTTACTAACTTTCATGTAAATAGAGGGAAAACATAAAGTCTTGTATTGTTTGTCTTCACAGCATCAACAGCCCAAGCCCAGAATGGGAAAGGTTTAACTTGACCATAAATCAAGGGCATCAGTTGACCCTGAGTCCCACAAGTGAAAGTGGTGGTTTAGAAGGCTATTTATTGTGTACTGAATTGTATACACAAAAATGGTTGAAATGGCAAATGTTTTGTTATATGTATTTTACCACAAAACAAAACAAATTAAAAAAAAAAAAAAAAAACACGATTGTGATCTCAGACCACATTCAGCCAAGATTAGATCAAGGAAGGTGTTAGCCTCACTGGTCCGTGTGCAAGCCACACCATAGCTGACCTGTATGTCCATATCTGGGCTCAACATTTGAAAAGATTGGAGTCCAGGATGGCAAAGGAGGCTTCGAATCAGTGTCTTTGGTGGAACTGACGCAGGAACCAGTAAATTTAGCTCGGAGAAGAGCAGATTTGGGTGGCACAAGGCAAGGGTCCTCAGTTCTTTGTGCAGAAGAGAGAATAAGCCTGTGCCATATTGCTTCAGAGGCAAAAGTAATAGAGGGAGATTTCTGTTCCACGGAAGGAAGAACTTCCTCATCAATGGATTCTTTCCACAGAGGCCCTGGCTGTCCCAAGGCTGACCAAGCTATTTCAAACTGTTGGAGTCAGTCGGAGAGATTTTCTGGATGGGTGGGAGGATGAGCTGGATGACTCAAACCCTGTAGCCCGCTCATTCTTACAGTATCCTACTTCTTACTCCTGTTCTGCTTTGACCCGTCCATCTTTGCAGTTCCCCTATCTGCTTCCCCCTGTTTCTTGTTTATCCTTACCAAGACTCCGAATATCGGGTCCTGGTGCCTCCGTGCGCGCACACGCACACGCACCGGACGCTCCCCACCGCCCCGGACCTTCCCCAGCCCACCGCACTTACCCAGTACGCGGAGCCGCAGCCGCGCTTGGAAGCTGCCGGCTGGGAAGGTGCTGACGCGGCACTCATACTCGCCCTCATCGGCTTGCACAGCGTTGCGCAGGAGCACGGAGCCGTCAAGGGGGTCCCGTGGGGGCTGTGGCTGCTCAACGCGACCCTCGTAGGCTGGGCTCACGTGGAGCCCGTATTTGGAATTCAGTAGCGCCAGCTCCTGGGCGCCCTCCGCCGTGTCCACCCGAGCCCAAGCCACCTGCCCCACCTGCTCGTCAGGGTCCCCTCGGTAGAAACAGGGCAGCTTTGCATCCTGGCCCAGCACCACAGTCACTAGATCCGAAGTCTCCAATTCGCCTGCCGAGCACCATCCTGCAGGGGGCAGACACGGGTTGCCAGGATTAGGTGCGCTGCCAGAGCCAGGGAAACACTTATTCATAAAGATAATGACAGCAAGGGCAGCTGGAACTCCCGGAGCATTTTGTGCTTACGAAGCACTTTCAGTCCATTACCTCATTAGAGCCACAAAACATTCCCAAGAGGTAGGTGTTATTATCATGGCCATTTAACAGATGAGGAAACTGAGGCCCAGAGAGAGGAAGTGACTTGCCTAAGGCCATGCTGACAATTTATGGAAGAGCCACATCCCTCTCCTAGCCCAAGATTGTATCCTGAGCAATTGTAAGGTGAGTGGCTATAACAGGACAGAGAGACCCAGCCAGCCTCTGCACTCAGGGAGCTCACCCTCCTCTCAGGGAAATGAATTTTACATGCACAGAAACAGGGAATCCCCAGGACAAACACTTCCACAGAAGCCTCAACCTACCAGGGAAGATAAAAGTGAACGTTTCCAGCAAAGGTCAAGAAGAGCTGGTGTTTGGGATAGAGCAGTAGGGTGGGAAGGGCCCCTCAGTAGAACCTTCAGAAGCTTCTTTGCATGGTTTGAAGATGAGAGACCTGGATTCCCAGAGAGAAGGAGTCACTCAGTGGGAGGAACGTCGTGGACCAAGGCTTTGAGGCAGAAATGAGCAAGTCACTGAAGACAGAAAGGGCCCAGGTCAGAGGCCTAGAGAGATGAGGTCAGGCAGACACAGAGACAGGGGAGCCAGAATCAGAGCACCAGGGATGGGGACCAGAGGCACAGGGTGAACGTCTTGCACACGGACTGGGTACATGGAGCTAAGTAGGATGAAGTACTTAGGGCTTTTAGAGTCAGAGACATACATCATGTAGACCTCATCGCCAAATGAGAAAACATTTGCTGCCTTCAAGGAACCTGAGGTCTGTTCAGGAGGAGGAAACACATGGAGACAGATGTGGAAACCTGTGATGATGGTTTCTGATCCAGTTCTCAGTGATGTGCTGCCTGTCAGTTGTGGGATGGGGCAGTCACTGTGGGCCCAAGTCATCTGGGAGGGCCTTAGGCAGGAATTAGGTAGCATTAGGAAGAGGCTAGCATGAGTAAACACCAAGGATGTGGAGAGGCTGGCTGGCTCAGGAAGCATCAAAGAGAAGTCTTAAGGCAGGGTGTGTGTATTGACCAGATGTGGAAAATATGATTGGGGTAGGGTGAGGCCAAATCATTGAGGACCTTCTATACCAGACAAAGGAATTAAGATTCCATAAAGGGGAAGCAGAATCCCTGGGTGGTGCAAATGATAATGAGCTCAGCTGCCAAACAAACTGTTGCCAGTTGGAGTCTACCCAAAAGTGCCTTGGAAGAAAGGCCTGGTGATCTACTTCTGAAAAATCAGCCATTAAAAACCCTATGGAGCAGCTGTACTTTGATACACGTAAGGTCGTCAGGAGTTAGAACTGATTAAACAGCAACTGGTTTGGTTCCTTGGTTTAAAGAGGGAATGCAGAGTTACTGAAGGTTTCTTAGCCAGGGAGTAGCATAAGAAAGTAGTGATGTATAGTTTGACTGAAGACCAGGAGGCTGCAGCTGCAACCCTGGAATAGTGCTGCTGGGGTGTGAGGAAGGGGCAGCTCCTGGGGAAAATTTGATTTGGTGAGTGACTAGAAAGAGAGATAAGGGGAAGAAAGGCTCAAGGCCAGCTCCTAGGTTCCTAGAATGAGTAATTTTGAGGGAGGTAGGGCCCGGGTAACCTCATAGTTAGCATGAAACAAATTTGGAGCCACGGAATAAAACATGTAAAATATAGTTATGGGGGCTGAGGGCAGAATAGAAGGGCACTCTAGGGCGGCAAGAGCTCCCGTGTCTTGGAATTTTTGTACGAGCAGTTCCCGACAGTTGGAGCCCTGTTGGGAGTCCCTGCTCCTGCCCAGCACCTCACACACCTTGCTGCTCCTCATCTTTATCACGCTGTACCCCTGACTGGAATGCCCTCCTCCCTCTGTCTGGCAGATCCTACTCATTGTTGTCTGGAGAGCTCCTATTCATCCTGTAAGACTCCATTTAGGCATCACTTCCTCCTGAAAATCTTCCCTGCCCCTCCACCTCAGGCACCATTAGGGGCCCTTCCTCTGTGCTCTGCCCGATCCCAGCACTTACCCCAGGGTCTGTAATTGCTATTTTCTTCCTTCCTCACCAGACTGAGCTCCTTAGGAGTAGAAACTGGGTCTCACATCACTGCATTTATGGCACATAATTGGTATTCAATTAACGTCTATTAATTGATTGATTGGGTGAATGAATGAGAAACAGGTGGAAGAAGGAAAGGGGAGAATGAAGAGGAATGTGGAGGAATGAGTAGTCCTTGCTTGGGCTGGGCAGGGAGGGGATTGCATGGCAATCTTGGGGTGGAGGCAGGTTAGGCCAGCTAGCTGGGATCACTGCCAGAGAGAGCACCCCTGGACTGGACAGAGAAAGAAAGAACAGGGCATGGAGACAGCAGGCATGGAGGGAGAATATATTGCCACACTCAGGTGGATCAGAGGGTTCTAGTGAGGCAGAACATGGACCAGAAAGGGGGTCCTGTGGCCCTGCTGGCAGGGGTGGAGTGGGGCAGAATGCTGTTGGCAGCTGGGAGGGCCGGGCTGAGACGGGACAGACCTGCAGGGCCAGATACCAGGGCCCTGACCTGCCTAAGCTGATGTTGGTCCCACCCAGCCTAGCCTGGGAGTCCAGCTAACCACCACACTCCTCCCAGGCACCTCCACCCGAACTGCAGTGGGCAGGGCTGCCAAGGAAGGTCAGGGGTGGGGGTGGGATGGGGACTTCTAGCTTATCCTCTGCTTCCAGCACTGGTGTCTGTGCTGGTCACAGGGATCTCAGGCCCGGCCCCACTGGGACACTGAAACCCTTCTAAAGACTATTCCTGGGACAGGGTCGGACAGCATATTTCTCATTCCCATCCTCACACTCACCAACCACCAGCCCTTTCCACCACTGATCAACCACATTTGCCCAAAAAAGTAACTTCTTGGCATTGGGTACCGAGCATATGCCTGAATTCCAGTCCTCCATGTCCCTACCTGTAAGTCCAAGACCCTCATCCCCAAGGAATAAGCCCAAGTTTTGCAGGATGAGGAACCCAGTAAAATAGGAAAGTCCTCTCTTGATCTCTCCCATAGCCCCTCCATTGTCCTAAAACCACTATTTATTTAGTACCTGAGGCTATGGCAGAACCCTCCTCTAGTTGTCACACACACACACACACACAAGCACATGCACATGCACACATACACAGCCTGCAAGAGAAGAAAATGTGGACCCTACAATCCCTGTCTAGGCTAAACTGACCTAAGAGCCCAGACTCCCAGGCCAGGGCTGTCTCCTCCTTCTCTCCCCCACCCAGTGCCAGCCCGGCGTCAGCATGATGATGTCACCAGCCTGAAGGAGACACATTGCCTGCCTGGTGAGGTCACCCTGCGGGCATGTGGTAGCCAGGTCAGGTTGAGCCCACGGACCCTTCCGCTGCAAGTTGTTTGCTGAGGCTGGTGGACTCTGGCTAACTGGGTGCTCCTCCCTCTGACCCTCCCCACCCCATTTCCTGGGAGCACCAGGACGCTGGTCAGGAGCCTTGGTGACTCAGAAGCTGCCGCGCATGACAGCAGGCCTAGCCACAGCCACCACCACCTTGCGCAAGGGAGAGAACAGGCCCAACTGGCCAGACGGGATCCCTGGCCTCGGCCTCCCCCACCTCCACCCCCGGCCAGGCCCCCTCAGGCCTCCTTCGGGCCCTGCCCTCTTTGTACCCCACCCGCTCCCAGACAGGCCCTCCACCAGACCAGACGGGCCTTCCATTGGGCTGCTCCCCACCCTGTGTCCAGAGCCAAACTTTCCTTTCTGTGAGGCCTGCACTCTGATCTCAGAAGAGGATACTGAGGCTGGCAGCTGCAAATACTCAGCCATGGAACAGCATCTTTGAGGGAGGGGGCTTTCTTCGTAAGGACCTTTTCCCCGTCAGCATCTCCCTGCTAGTACATGTAGGGGTACACATAGGGATCCTAGCAGCAGGTCTGTGAGAAGGAGGAAGGGCGTAAGTTTGAGTCTTTTGTGTCTAGAGGGGCTTGTTTGGGTGAGGGCTGGCCAGTCTAAATGCTGGTTCACATGCATGTGAAGCTGTCTCCTTGTGTGAACTTGGGGGTGTTCTGCACATGCATGTGTGTGTGACCTATCTTCAGGAGAGTACCTGTGCTTATCTGTGTCCAGAAAGATGTGCTGTGTAATGATGTCTATGCAAACATGGGCACACACACCATTCCATGTGCAACTCATACCGTCTGTATGCATGGTGGACATTCCTGTCTCATGGAACTCTGCACACATAGTAAATATTTTGAGGTCGATTTCTTGGTTTCTCTTGGCTTCCACATGTCTGTCTCTTGGCTGCCCTTGGTCAGTGGTGTGTGGCTCTGTGCCTTTGTTTCTGCAACCCACCTGGAGGGCCGCCCAGCATCCCTCCCCACTTCATCTCAAGACTTAAGGGCAGATTCAGATTCACCTTGATCTCAGGCTCCAGGTGGAGGTACCCAGAGATGAGGTCACTGTCCCTCCAGGTGATGGGAAATTGCCATCAAGGGCTCCTCAACAGAACAAAACAAAAGCTCTCTCTACCCTTGCTCATCAGGTTCCCATCTTTGTCCCCCCCACCAGCCACTCCTCTGGGCCCCCCAGCACTCTGGCCCCCCAAGGAGGCCTCTCTCTGAGAATCCCTGTCAGAGCCTCCACTGCTGCCACCACCAGAAAAACCAGCTCTGGCTCCAGGCCTGGGGTAAGGGTTGTCTGATGGGAGTTTGGTGGGGAGGGGGGATTCTGCCTGGGGCTAGGGGAGGTATTGGAGCTGTCTAAGGTCTTATTCTTCTTTATTAACTCTTCCCTCCCCTCACTCAGGTAGCAACAGCCTCCGCAAGAGAAAGAAGGGGTACACTGTGAGTTTGAGGTACAAGAAGACTTGGGAGGGGAGCACTGTAGCCCCCATCCAGGATAGGTGACAGAAACAGCTCAGCAAGCTCTTTTCCTTCCACGCTGCCCCCCCATAACCTTGGCCTGGAGGTGCTAAGGAACCTTGAAAACCAGGAGTTTCTCCCTCTGCCTTCATCCACCTTCCTTACTTACCCCCATTGTCCTAAGCCCCCCAGCTTAGTGAGAGCTTCCCAACCTGGGCAAAGCGCCTGCTTGCAGATTATTGCCTGGGGAGGGGGGCCACACCAATCACAAAGGTAGAGGAGAACAATGGGGGAGCACAGGCCTTGAGGCAGCCCCGGCTCTGGCCCAGACACAGCTCCCAGCACAGATAAGTCCCCTAAACCACCCCCTGGAGCCAGAGTCTGAGCCAGGCTGAGTCACCACAACAGCCACACCGTGGGTGGGAGAACCAGAATTCTCCCACCCTCCTGAGATATTAGCCCCCCAATCCTGCCAGTACCCCCCACTGTGGCCAGCTCTGCCACACCCCAAATCACAGCCTCAGCCCCAGCTCTCAGGACACAGCCAGGTTGGGGGAAGGGAGCTCAGGGGACTATGGCAACAGCTTCTGAGGCCTGAGGCTTCCTGTGCTAGTGAGAGTGATCCCCACTGCCCCCTCCACAGACCTCCTCCAGGGCTTGGTGGTTGACACCCCAGTTCTGAACTTCACCTTTTCATTTTAGATTCTATTCCCAAGTCCAGAGCCTAGACCCCTTTACTCCCTTCTCTCCTGACTCAGCTCCCTACCACACCTTACCCATTCTCTCTGCCTTGACATTGTCGAGAAGAGCCTGGGCATTCTCTCCTCAATTGGCTTGTTCCCCAGGTGTCCGACCCCCATATACTGTCCCTGGAGGATCTGAATCCTGAGGCTGTGGTCTAGAAGATGGGCCTTGGATTCTGCTGTGAGACCCTTGCCGCTATCTCTGTGCTTGGGGTCCCTTTTCCCCAGCCCCCTGAAGTCCTAGGGTGGGCCCCATGGTCACGGGGCCACAGGGCTTCCCTGGGATTCTCCCAGTCCTCTCCATGTTGGGCGGGGAAGCTAGTCTCCCTTTCTGGCTTCCCTGGGTTTGGGTAAGTCCTATAGGAAAGGGCCTGGCCCCCTCCTGAACAGGAGGAGAAGAGCAGGGATAAGGCCCCTCCCTTTCTAGGAAATGAACTTCAGTCAGAAAGCTGATCCTAACCCTCAGAAGGCAGACCTCAGAGAATTCAGGGAAGCCCTTGTCCTCTGATGAGCCAGGGGACTGAAGGAGTGTCCTTCAATTGATTTGGGCCTTGCAGCCCCAGGGCAGGAGATGGGGGAGGGAAAAGGGAGGGGACCTCACCCAAAAACTCATCCCATTAAGGAGAGACAAAGAGCTGTGGTGTTGAGGCGCCTCCCAAGCCTGGGCTCCTCTCCCTGTCAGGGGTGGGGCAGGGCCCTGGGGCTCAGAGCTCCTAATAGCCCAGGAGTTGGGTTGGGGGTGGGGGTATTCAAAGTAGAGCCAGGAAGAAAGCTCCCCTTGGTCTCCACTGAGGGATGGTGCCAGGACCCTTTCCTCCTTCTATCTCCACAGCCAGGCTAACTGCCCCTTCAGCATCCCAGCACCCCACTTCATCCAGGAACCAGACAGTCACAGAGCCATAGAATTTCAAAACTCGAAAGCACATAGAGATATCTGATTTTCTAAAGTCCAGTTTCCTAGTTGCTCAAGGTTACCTAGCAAATTAGTAGCAGAAATGGGGCCAGAACCCAGAACTCCTGACTTCCCAGTCCAAGACTTTCCCAGAGGCTTCCTGGGGGCTACTGAGGAGATCCACACATACATAGAAGCCAGACACTGGGGGGTGGGTGTGTCACAGTACAAGCGAGACCATCTGGTGCTCTGACTACAAACCCGGGGGTCTAAGCCTCACTCTCAGACCAGACCTCCAGCTCTGTGAGGGTTAGAGCACCAGGCTTCCTCCCTGCCCACAGCTCCTCAGTCAGGGATTGGATGAGGTCAGGGGCAATTTCTGAACTAGAAAGGGTCTCTTCTCCCCTTCCCTTAGAAGGAATAGTTTTGTATGCAGAAAAGGTAGATAGAGGCTGTCTTATTCACAATTGCATTGCCAGCATCTAGTACCCTGGCCACACCCAGTGTGCACTCAAATGTGCTATTCTTTAATGAACTAGGGGTCAGGAGACCAATACACTATCCCTGACTCTGTTCTAATACTGAGTAATCTCTCGCAGGTGTCATTTTCCTGTCTGTTTCCCTCAGTTTTCCCATCTGTCAGATGAGGGAGTTGGAGCAGTCAGTGATCTCTTTGATCCCTTCCAAGTCCTGAGACACTGTGGCTCCATTCTTTAGGTGTGGGTAGATCCCAAAGGAAGGTTACTACTGGGATCCCTGGCCCCAGCACCCAGGCCCCACCCTCTTGGGCTAAGTAAGTGAGAAAAAAGGGTTATCTGGAACATGGAAATTAAGGCTTTGGGATGGAGAGGTGGAGGAGTTTGGAGCTCAATATCCTGTGATTACAGGCTGGATCAATGGCCCCTGTACTATAAGATCAGAGTGAAAACAATCACCACACACCTAGGCCAAGCTCTCCTCCTGACAGCTTCAGCTGTGGATTGGAGTGAGAGGGGTAGGGGGCGACTGCTAGGCCTTGCTAGACAACTGATGTGTCCTTGCTACTGATCCCGGAGCTGGGAATCCAACTGTCCAATCCAGACAGTAAGTACCCTGTCTTCCCAAGCAGAAAGATTTTTCACTTATTCCATGGAATCCCATTGTGGTCTCATTGAGCACACCCTCATACATGAGCACATACTCTTCCCTACTCTCAACATAGTAAATTCCTATGATCTATATTTGCTATGTATCCATTAGGAGCCCTGGTGGCTGAGTAGTTAAAGCACTTGGCTGCTATCTGATAGGTCAGCAGTTCAAACCCACCAGCTGTTCTGCAGGAGAAAGATGAGGTGGTCTACTTCTGTAAAGATTTACAGCCTTAGAAACCCTACAGAGCAGTTCTACTCTGTCCTATAGTGTTGCTATGAGTCAGAATTGATGGCAGTGAGTTGTTTGGGGTTGGGTTTTTTTTTTTTTTTTTCCTTTTTTGTATATATACATTAGACAGGTATGGTTACCTAGACAGGGTGTCTAGTTGATAAAATAGGAAGTCAGAGAAGAACAAAAGGGAAGCACACTCTGTCTAGACAATACCCTGGCCAAGACCCCTTCTCACCTAAGTAACCTCCTCATTACCACCACCCTAATAGTATGCCAAGGGAAAGGGAGGGGCCAGAGTAAGAGGAGCCCCACTCCTGTACAGTCCCCAAACAGGTGCCCCAGTCCTGGTGTTCCAGAACATCAAGGAGAAGGGAGAAGGGGATAGAAATGCCTGTCCACTGTCTGGGCATCTAGCTTCCTACACCCTGATGACTGCCGAAGCCAGCTCAGCCCTGAGTCAGCCCCAGCTCCAGTCAGCAACTCAGGAGCCCAGGGGCTGGCTGAAGGAGCCTCCAGGAAGCCCGGGGTGCATGAGGTCCTCCCCAGTTCCACCTTCCTGCCCACCTGTGGTGGGCTACCATATCAATTCCCCCAGAGGTGGTCAGGGCTAAGCAAGGCTTTGGCAGAGGTAGAGACCCCCAGACACTGTGGCTGGTCTGGGGGCCGGGGAAGGGGCATGAAGGAAAAGAGCTACATTGGCTCTTCTGGGGGCAGTACTGGCAAGTGAGGGTGGGAGAGAAAGATCAGTTCCCCAGCCCAGCGTCAAAGGAAAAAAATGGGTGTGTGTGTGTGTATGTGTTGGGTGTGCGTGCGTGTGTGTGTGCGTGCGCCAGGTTAGGCTCAAAAACAAGGTTCCTGATGGTTCAGGCAAATCCTACCTGTATATGATGCCAGGAGCAGCAGCAGCAGCCAGGTCTCAGGCCCCCACATCTCGGCTCCCAGGGACAGGGGCATTGGTTGTCAGGCAGACCTGCCAAGAGTCTCTGAAGTTCCACCGAGTTCTCCCTGGGAGCCGGCTCTAGAGTTGGAGAGGGCACAGACCCAGCAGGCAGGACACCACGAAGCCCAGGTACTGACCCACCTGCCTATCCTACTAGGGTCTCCACTAGGGGGCCCAGCCCCGTTTTACCCACCCAGACACAGCTACCCCCAAGAAGCCGTGATCGGGAGCTCCGAGCTCCCCCAGAGCTACTTCCCACGCCGTGGCCAACAACGACGGCAGAAACCTGGGAACCTGCTCAGCAGGTCAGAACAGGTGCGTCTCCGGGGGCTGGGCCTGGCACAGAGACTCAGCAGCCACCGCCCCCATGGCCTGGGCTGGCTAATGGGCGCCAGAGAGGGAGGGAGGGAGGGAAGGACCTTGGGGGGGGTGGGATCCCATCTTCAACTCAGGGTTTACCTGAAAATGAGTAGAAGGGGCTGACAAGGGAGAGGCAAGGCCTGGGGAGAGGCCCAGGGTGGCTCAAAGAGGGAGGCACCAGGCCAGGATGAACAGGGCAAGGCCCTTGTGGGCGGAAAGGAAGCCAAGCATCCCACACCCCAGCCAGCTTTGCTGCCTTCCGGGGGCCTTGTCACATTCCCCAGTCTCCGAGAGGGTCTCAGCCGTGGAGCCGCAGAATCAAGGAAGGCCAGAACTGAGGAGGGTCCTGGGAGTACTGACCATCCCTTACCCTTCAAATGAGAAAGCAGATGCCCAGAGAGGAGAAGGGGCTTGCCTGAGAACACACAACTAGGAGTATCATGGTTTGCTCAGATACTTCTGTCCATGACACAGGGAGCCAGTTCAAAGATCTCTGAAAAGGAGTTTAAGTAATCTCACCACCACCACCACCACCCCAATCCCACTCCCATATAGGAGAAGCCCAGGAATTACTCCTACAAGGAATTCCTGGCTTCTTCACAGGGCCTTCTGTCAGCCATCCCTATCTCTCAGCTTCAATATCTTGTTACCTGGCCAGAAGTCCCAAAATACATCAGCACAACTTTAGTGGAAAAGGGAAATGGTTCCTTTTCATAATGTCCATGGCCATTTTATCCCAGACTCTGGACAGGGACCACATGTCTGGATTTTGCAAGGACAGTCTAGATTTCAAATACCCTGCCCCTGTACTCCTGTAAGTATACTAGTATATATTAGGTCACATGTTTCCATTTTGGATACATAAACTGCCACCCACAAGTTATACAAAATATTACCAGCCTGGCTGGGATAGTCAGAGTGAGGGGGTGGGATAGTCAGAGGGAGCGGGCAGACTCTGAACCCCCTGATAAATTTGTGAAGGGAAGGGGCAAGACAGCTCTAACAGACTGGGGCTAGAAACTAAATATAGAGACAGACATTGGTGAAGAAAAAAAAAATAATGTCTGTCTGGAGAGCGGCAGGAATAAGAATCAGAAATAGTAAGGGAAGGTCATGCCATCTGGGATATTTTCCACCACCACCACAATTCCAGTTGTAGAAATCATATTTATCTTTCAAGGTTGACCTTAAATGCCACCTCTTCCATGAAGCCTTCTTAGCTCCTCCCACCCAAATTAATCTTTCTCTCCTCTGTTCTCCCTCAGTCTTTGCTAGCCCCTTTATTATAGCTTGTGTACTGGTAATTTGTGCAATCTTATCTCCTTAACTAAATTGTAAGCTTCAATTCAAGAAACATTGATTGCACCCTGCTGTGTGCCAGGGATTCAGTAAATGTGTTTAATTGAGGGGCAGGATAACAGCTATAGGCTGTGAACCCTTTGAAAGTAGGCTCATCTCATTCATCCATATCCCAGCACTAAATGGGAACAGGGGAGCCCTGGTAGTGTAGTGCCTGAGGCACTTGACTGCTAACCAGAAGGCTGGTGGTTCAAACCCACCAGCCACTCCTCAGAAGGAAGGTTGGGCAATCTACTTCTATAGTGATACTGCCTTGGAAACCCAAGCAGGGGTCCTTATGAATTGGGTCCGACTCCACGGCACATAACAAGAACAACAAATGGGAACAGAATACCTTTTTATTGAAGGCATGAATTTATGAATGAATGTCTGCATGGAAAATATGGTGAAGGGAAGGTCAGGGAAGCAAAGACCCTGACTGACCCTGAATTACTATCCTGCATTTGGGCTGTGACCCTGACTTTAACCCTGCTCTGGACTATGACCCTAGATCTGGCTCTAGACCCTAACTGTCAGCAACGACCATGGTAGTGACTTCTTCGTTGGGGGCTATTTCAACCAGGTGAGGAGGTAGCACCAAGGGCCAGGCTGAGTGCCCAAACTCCCCAGTTTCTCTCCACCTCCACCTCGGTGAGCCCTTTCCCCTCTTCTGGACTCAGGTCCCATCTGTGCCAGGGAAGGAGCCCCACCCCAATGCTGCTTTGAGATCCACTGTGGCAGGGGTGGAGTAGGGCCAGGGGGAATGGGAGGGGGGAGCATCCTGTGTTATAATTATAATTATTACACCTTGGATCCTATCGCATGGTTTCAGAGGAGCTCCTTTCCTTCCCACGGATTGACCCCTCCCGGCGAATTAGAACCAAGGGACCATAGGAGAAACTGAGGCATTGCGGTGGGGAAGCATTTAGATCACAAGGTGGGTATCCAGTTCCTGTATCTCCTTCAGCCTTTCCATTCTCATTTCCCCACCTCCCAGCAGTACTGCTAGTCAGTTTGGCTCTGAGCCCTTGGCTGGGGGCCCTTAGTCATGCACCCTCAACTCTAGCCATGCAGAACACTGAAGGGAGGCAGGACTTTCCAGAGGAAGTCTTAAGGCCAGGATGTAACCAATATTTTTTCATGAGTATATTCAGGTGATAGTAAACAGCAGAGGCAGCCTTCAAGTGGGACTAAGGGCACCATTGGCCCAAGAAGGAGCACTAGAGCCACGCAGCCACCCCAGACCTTTGCTAGAGGTAGGGATCTTTCTCTCATCTAACAGATATCTATGTCCAAGTCCCTCTGCCCCCTTGTTCCCCTAATCTTGTATCTCTCACAGCTTTTGGAGAATATGCCTTCATGCTGTCCTCCCCTCAGTGGGATGAAGCCTAGGGAAGGCCTGCTCCAAGGCTGGGGCTGGGAGGACATATTGGTAGGGGAAGACTTTCAAGGCCAATGCCTGGTATCTCAGATTCTGTTCTTTCTTCCTCACTGATTCCCCATTCCCTTCATGACTCACTATCTACCCATTTCCCACCCACATTCTGGGCCCTAAGAATGGGAACAATCCAAGGCAAGGTGGCATCTTCAGCATGTGTTTTTGTCTGAGTGGTATCACAACTACATGCCTGCACGCATGCATGCGTTCATTCAGCAGACATTTAATGAGCACCACTTTGTGCTGGGTTCTAGGGAGAGAACCATACCAAGCATGGTCCCTGACCTCAATCAAGAGAAACAGACACAGAAACAACTATAATACACTGTACCTCACCATCATGGGCTCCCTATGTGTCTCTGTATGTGTGCATACCATGCACATGTGTGAGGCTATCTGTGTGCATAACTATGGCTATTCATTATCTGCATGTGTCCAAGCATCCGCTTATAGCCTCGGCTCTGTCCCCATGGCAGACTGCACATCTCACCCAAACCGGTTGGAGTGGGTTGTGCTGAAATTTTTGTTTGTGTCAATGGTACTTGGAGGTGAGTCAGGGAAGGACAAGGATGGGTGGGGTGGTGTAGGGGAGAAAAAGAGTGAGAGTGAGGGTCAGATTGAGTGAGTGGGGGAGTGAGGGAGTGGGTAAGGTAGGAAGAGCTCGGGGGTGGGGTGTCAGGAGGATGGGTCAGGGGTAGGAGTAGATGAGAAAGCACTCTTGTGAGTAATATCCTGTTTGTCTGCAGTAAGGTCCCAGGTCAGGGAAGAGTCAAAGGCTAGAGGGAAGACCCTTGGGCTTTAGGAGAATGGAGGGTAGGTAATAAATCCAAGTGGAACTAGCTGAAAGCATGGGTATGGATACAGTGTCTGCATAGTTTGTCTCTCTGTGTGGTATCAAGCTATTCCTGATCTGCTTACTGCCTTGATTTCTGCACAGTTTGTACAAAAAAGTGTTGAGGTGCTGATTGACATTCTAGTGGGAGATTACTGACATGGGATTTGATTCTAACCTCAGAACTGAGGCCATTTCAGGTAGAAACTTCAAGGTCACTCCTCCAGCTCCTCACTCTGATGCCCCCTACCCATGAAAGGATGGGGAGGAACCTCCATAAAGAAAACAGGGGCTCCAGAAGTTTCTCCTCCATTGAAAGACACATTTGCTTCCTCCAGCTGGACTATTTTTTGTTTTTTTTAAAAATATTTATTTATTTATTTATTTTTCAATTTTATTTTGATTTGGGTGAAGATTTACAGAGTAAATT